TGTCTAAAGTTTTCTTGATTTATACATGTTTTGTGTATTTTAGCATGTTTTAAGTACCTTAATCTGTGTGTCTAAGTTCTATGTTTTACCTGGCTACAAGATAAATTTCACCTCTGTGACAATAAAGTTAAAGTTGAAGATTATCACCGCTAGCTGTCAATAGGTGGAATAGCACGAGACTGTTGAAATATGTCAGCCTTATGCTTCGTGTGCATCGTTGCGCACATGCTAGTGGAGCACAAGATACGAACCAAACAGGGGCCTGCAAATCAAAGCATCCCTACATACTGTAGCACCACTACAGAGTAGCTTTAATATACATTACAATCCCTCTTACACACTAAACTAAAAAAAAAAAATCTAATATAGTGTTGTCTGTGAAGATTCCAGGTCATAGTTCTTCAAGGAAGGTTAAAATCAAAGGGCAACTGGTTTTGGTTGAAGATACTTGATGATGTTTTGCCTCTCAGCCAAGGGGCTTCTTCAGTTCTGGTTGAAGATACTTGAAAACGTTTCAACGTCATCAAGTATCTTCAACCAAAACCAGTTGCCCTTTGATTTTAACCTTCCTTGGATATACAGTGTCTATATGTGATTCATCTAAAATTAATATGTGAAAACTAGCAAATGATGGTCACATGCTTGCTGACGGGTCTCTGGCAATGGAACAAGCCTCAATTTTCAGTGTAAGTGATCATTATGGTTGGAGTGAAAAGTGTAAAATGATTGTGTTCAAATAAAACTGTTTCACCTGTCCTTCCTTAGTGATAAGTTTTCAGTGATTAGTAGTGACAGACTGCTTCTATGGCATATTTGCAAGGTGTGTTGCATGCAATATTGTGTTTCAAAAGTATTTATACACAAAGGCCATCATCTGGCCTGTAAAAGTTATTACTGCAGGATTTTCAAACAAGCATAGTTCCACAAGGACATAATAAACTACTCAGAGCCATGTAGCAATTTCTGCAGACCTTGAAGGATGAAATGTAGATGCAGATGTCTGTCTTGCTTTTAAGCACAAAAAAAGCTATGATAAAACGTCTCTACAAGAACCACAATCCCAAATAAATTAACATTCTCTATGAATTAACCATCAAGGGTAAAGATGTTGTATATTTTGAGTGCCGACAGCTCTCAGATACATACAGTACATATACAGTACACCATCTGTGTCTGTCAGTGTTCTAGGAGTCTTAATTACACCTACGTTGCTGATGCATTGTAAACGGTAAAGAGAATTATTTTGTCATCCATCGCCGCTGGTGACACGCACTTAAAAGCCGTAAACCATTTAGTTAATGGCACACCTGCTGAGCCGACGCGGAGTGAGTGGGAAGGAGTTTATTGGACTTCTCAACGTCAACTTCCAAATTGATCCAAACTTTCAGACAACACTCTTGTAAAAACTCTACTGCGCCCACATTGCATTACCTTAATGCACTGAAGGCACTTTACCCCCCACTTTTATATCATGACGTGCTTTAAGCAAGGAGAAAATAAGACTCCAGAGCTGTGGTGTGTACTTACTGCAGGTACTCTATGAAGAGGGGATATGAATGATATCAATCAGTGAAAAATCCTGCATCGGCTAGGGTGTCCTTCCTAACTGACAAGATTATAGGGGAGCTTTGAAGCTCCTTTTATTGGTTCCTCCACTTCATTTGGGTTTACTTAACATCTGGGAGCTTTCATACCAGCACACTGTTGTACTAAAGCACAATTTACAGCCTCTTGCACATTTTTTTAATACTTATTCACCGCCTACCCCCCCCTTCTCCATCAGCCTTTCATAAATTCCTAAGAGTGTGATTGATTAGAGGGTCTCAATATCAGGACAGGTAAGGAGGATGTTTTTAACAGCCATGGGGAAAGATAATGAAGGGGCTTCTTAAAATGGCCGCCTTACTGTTCAGAATCCACCTCCCAAACCAAATATTCAGCCTGACCATCTCTACAGCAGTTTAAATGGGCTTTTTTTGGCTCATTTGGGGCTTGATTGATACACAGAGACGGGGGTTGTTGAAGCAGCAGAACGGCATCTCAGTGATAAAGGCAGGGTCACTACTGAACTAAAGGGGGCAGCACTAACAAGCACTTGGATGGCTGGGTTGGAAGCCTTTCCACCTGAGAGCAGCAGAGGGAGGAATAAATATGGGTAATATTGTGAGAGGTTTTTGAAGGAGAAGGGGCTGAGAATGTGGGAGGGTGAGCGATGGGGGGTCACAATGTGAGAGCTGCCCCCGCAGTGAGATTCTGCACTCCTCTGAGGGGCTTGTGATGAGAAAGAGATGGAGATGTTGGGGGGTGGGGGTGCAGGTCAGCCACTCACGCAGTGTGACAGTGGCGTGCACCACCTGCCTCTATCGCCGTGCACCCCCTCCCCTCTGCTTCAACCCCTGCTGTCTGATGGAACTCTTCCCATCTGCAAACTGGCAACAGCTTGCGAGAATCAAGCCCTGCCATTTCCACCACATTATGGACTCAGATGTGGAGACAAACACAAAATACTGGACATTGAGTATTTTCCCCCTGCTAGGCTGGATTGATGAGGCTCACAACCACTTAAACGATGGTGGATAACATGCTAAACCAGGGGTAGGAGTGCGTGTGTGTGGGATGGGGGAGCAACATGGAAGCACAAACATGTGGCGGGATAGTGACGAGAAAAGAAAACAGAGAAGACAGTCCTTAATTGCCTTTTCAGTCATTAACAGGGTCCCACACCTCATGAAACATTAATTACACCAAGCGCAGCGGAGATAGGGACGCTTAATTAGAAAGTATTCACTGCGTGGCAAGAGCTGAGCGATAGCATTTCAGCGGCATGTAAATTGCTGGTGTGAGATCTAAAATAAGCACGGCAAGAATCGGTGTAGACGTCAGGCTTATCTGGCTTCCTCTCACTTGAATGTCTTGTGAAGTGCGCTTCCCTTTTACCTGATAGCATGTTGAGTGAAGTAGGACATGTGTTAACCCCCTGTTCTCCTCCCTTGTTTACTGCTTCTTCCCTGCCCCCCATGGCTCTAACCTAGCCTATTCCTCCTGCGTGGTTCATAAATTATTTACACCACTGTGCTAGTCCACCCACAGACAGGATGTAATTGACACAGAGGATCTGTCAATTGCCCTAACATCTGGGAGGGGCTGATTAGTGCATCACTCTCCCACTTTAGCCCTTCCCCTCCCAACTCTCCCTCGTTCACACTCTTTTTTAGCCCTTTCTACAATCTCCCGTTTCTCTCTCCAGGCAGAGGCCAATGAGGTGACATTAACGCTCTTGATGTGAAATGCCCTTGACACTGTTACCCCCTCCTTGCTGTTCCAGCCGTTTCCCCTAATCCCCTGCACAACTTTAAAAATGGTCTGCTCCACCCCTCGTCCCAGGTGTATTGATCTTTCTCTCCACCTGACGATTGCCACCACATATTCCTGTCGTGCATGTAGCTCTTGTGTGTGTGTGGAATGTCCTTTCTCTTACAAGATCACACAATGGAGTGGTAATAATGTCACCAGACTGTACCTAAGGTAATGGATGGGCCTCACTGTTACATGTAGGGCTCAGGGCATAAGTGCTAGCCTTGGGAAATGTCATAGGAACATCAGAGAGCGTTCCCGAGTACTAAGAGTTAAGGGCAAGGAGATATCCGTGATGGAGACATTACAAAAAGCATTAAGAGACAGGTACAAAGCCTATTAAGGGTGTGCATAAGGACAGGGATGGTAGAAATAGAATTTATGGGTCTGTAGAGAAACAAGTGTGGAATTGAGATAACGGTGAAAGACTTGGGACACTAACCTGAGGCTCACAAACCTGACCGTCTGCATATATGGATGTTTTCATGTGAAATCAATGCAATCATGTTGATGAGTCTCCATTAAAAACCATCTTTAGCTTAGTAGACAAAGATATGTGGGGCATATATGTGGGTTAATTAAGAATCATCCTGGTAAGCAAAACAGATGAATACCTCAGGATATAGAAATGTAAGCGTATAATATTATAAGGTTTACAAAAGGTTTACAAGTTTTACATTTTGGCATATACACTTATTTGTTTTCTTGCCAAAAGTGAGACTGTGAAGTGACAAGATTGGTACTGGTCTTGTGTCTCATCTCTTTCTATTATAACACCTCTAACTCCTAACCTCTAACATGCGCTTCCTGTTCTCTTCTTCTTCGATCCCCTTATAATTATCCCGTATTGATTGCACTTTTTGTTAACTCTTACTTCTTTCCCTAGGTATCCCCATTGATGCGATGTGTGCTATTAGCTCTTACTAGTATTTATTAGTGCTCTTACTAGTATGTATTTTCAGTTGTAGATCTCTTACTGTATTGATGCTTTGTTGATGCTTGTATGTTGTTCCTCTAATGTAACTCGCTTTGGATAAAAGCGTCTGATGTAATGTTATGTAATGTGTCTGTACACTAAATATAAAGCCAGAGCGAGCTGTTGTTTAGCTTAGCTCTGCGTAAAAGACCTGGCTTTGTCCAAAATGTGTAAAAACATGCCAGGTAAGCCGTTTCCCCACTGTTTTCAGTCTTTATGTTAAACTGAGATAATTAGCTTCTGGCTTTAACCTTATACTTAACGACATATACATGTGACATCAGTCTTCTCATCTAACTCTTAGCAAGAGAGCGAATATGTGTACACCTTTTATAATACTGACATTGTGGAATGTATGCAGGGTTCCTCTAGTACATTTTGATAAATTGTGTTTTTTTTCTTTGTGCATCTCATATAGAACCTTCTTAGTGCAATTAATTAAAAAACGAACAATATGCATTTTTCTTCCTTTTCTTCCCTGAAAGACATGAATAATTTTCTTTTTTATTACCAATATACATGTTCGTATGTTATTTATATATAAAGTATAAATAAGAGAACACCTCAGTGGGAGAAAGGGGTTTCTTTCATCTCAAATCGAGGAGCTCTAAAGTTTTGTTTAATTCTATTCTTGGTGTAGCACACTAAGTAGTAAAAGAAGGACCCTTACCTGTTCTTCAGATGCTGGATGCTTCCGAAGCACATGAAGCGACCGTTTACCATGATGGCCATGCGTGTGCAAAGTGCTTCACACTCCTCCATACTATTGAAAGAAGAGGAGTTGACTTGTAAATGAGAAGCAGCAATAATACCAAATACTTTAGTCTCTTCTGTTCTAGATAAATGTATAAATTGCTAAAGTGTACTGTCTTCAAGGCTAGAACATTGATCCCAGATGGTTTTTATAATTAATCTTAGACTGTGTCGGCTCACATTATTTGGCCAATATAGATCTCTACTGACTTACTGAAACTTTTCCTTCTCATTTACAGGTAAAGTTTGGGTTAGAGCATTTTTATACATCTACTCTGACACCTTAAATGGACGACAAATTTGGTAATTAGAGGGAGAGGAAGCGACCATCTGTAGTTCTTATGATCTAATTTTTTCTCTTTCAGTGTTGGGCTGGAGCAGGAGTCATTTGTAGTTGAGGCAAAACCTGTGAAGCCTTTCTGAGGAATGGCACAATTAGGATTATGACTTTGTAAAACCTGGTGAATCTGCCACTTAACAAAACACAACCACCTGGTCATGCCATGGACGACTGAATGCAGCTCAGCCACATTGCCCGGGACAACAACAAATGCTTTTATCCACGAAGGCAACACATGTAATGAGAACAATATATTTCAAATGAAACAGCAGCACAGATTATTCACATGGACTGCCACGAGCACAAATGATTCATAAATCCAGGAAATTTGGGAAGCGGTGAAACGAATAGGGTTGTGAATTCTTAAATGTTCCCTGTTGACTTCGGACATTAAGTTTCACAAAACCCCCCCCCCCAACAACTGGCCATCGTTTTTAATTTCTTCACTCAAAAGCACACTACAGGAGACAAAGTTGGGAAAACTAACTTTGCTCCAGGTAGTCTTGGATAATGAAAAGACTCCAGCACTGATATTGACAGTTTGTCTTTTCATGGAGAAAAAAAAAAAAAGCACCAGTCAGTCAATATGCCCTCATGCTTCATGAAAGCTTTATAGAAGCCTGTGTGTTTCTGGAAGCCAATATTAACTGCCATCCAGGAAACAATACCTTTCAACTAAAGTGTAATTCCAGTCAATTATAATAATCATCATCATTCTTGCGCTCTTTCATTACGGACAATTTGGTTGATCTGCTTTCCCTGGTGAAGAGGGAAATATTTTGGCTGCACCTTAGATGGTTAAGAGCAAATCCATCAGAGAAAATCAATAGATGATGTAGCACCTGTGTGATGTGAGAATGACTGAGCGTCCCTCTTTGATGATACTCAGGATGCAGTCCCACAGGAAGCGCCGGGCTTTTGGGTCCATCCCCGTGGTTGGCTCATCCTGCAATAAAAAAAAAATATATAAATGTTGTCAAGGTATACCATTTACAGCAAAAATCTGCTTTTAGCAGATCATTTAATGATGTGCGTGCGTTTAGACATACCGATAGGTGACAAATGAAAGGAAAAACCTGAATACATGAGTGGACATAAGGCATTTATCTGTCTATAGAGCATAGATTTTTGGCCTGACGTGTAAGACAGCTCTCTCCAACACCATCATCAAAACTGAATGATGAACAAGAATAGTGTTCCATCCGTCCAAGTCCCAGAGATGTGTCCAATTTATGTCAAGATGCATTGAAGCTGTTCTGGCAGTTTGTGCTCACCCAACACATAAATAAGACACTTGATGATTTTCCCTTTAATTTGGCACCCATATGTATGTAAACATACACATAAGGCAAAGGAGGAGAGAAAACAAGGCAAAAACGGGAGACACATAAAACACACACATACATAAGAAAAGTCTGTGTGAATTCTGAATTTACCCGTTTACACATATACTGAAGCACCAACATAGCACAGCACACACACAGAGACTCAGTGACTTGCTGTTTCTTTTTCCTCAGGGTTGGTCTGTCCATGCATGATTAGAGAGTGACAGTACTCAGTCCATTGGCTGGTTTCGTTCCAGGCCTGGTTCTCCCTCACTAGCAGAATCCTACAAATCCCAAGGGGTTTATCCATCACCGTGCCCAATGTGTCCCTGTGCAAACCCTACGTGGCACTGACTCAAGGCTGCCTGGGCCCCCTGGGCTAGCACACAATACTGAAACTGACACAGACACTGACAACACATTATCCCACTGCCTCAAAGTGAAGGCTAGCCTGGCTCAGGCGAGTAAATAAGTAGGTTTTGGAATAGTGCGGCTCGATAGGCACTGAGGCAGAAAACAGAAACGGTTGGAAAGATTATTCTGTAAATGTAATTTAATATGGATTACTCATTACCTGACTGATCACTCATTAAATAGTTATTAGCGGAATAATCTAATGGATTGCTTTAAATATAGCAAAGCAATGCATTTATTACACTTTACAGGCAGAAAATTAAAGAGCATAAACATTTTTTTGCTTAACATATTATTTCTGCTTTATTAGTCCATGCGATGTAGAGGGTGGAACATGGGATTACAAGTACAATTTGCAATAATGGTACAATGAAAATGTACACTTTCGTGAGCCCTCTTGAGTGAGTCCCCAGTGTGATTTAAGGTCATTAAAGTTTGTCCCTCATAATAACGCGGACACAACTTCCTAATGCACATTAAAGCCGCTTAATTGAAAGCATGTGACGCAGTGTATTCTGAGTCATGCCTTCATTAATCTTCCATCAGTGGGAAAATGCTTTTGCTCCCAGTTTTTAATTCCTGATGAATAGGGGTTTAATATGTGCAAACACAGTCCTGCTCTACGCTTTTCTGAAGGAATTGGTTCTTTCTTGGAAAAAAAAAAAAAGAATTAAAACACAACCAGTGAGGAACCCCTGAACAATATACCCTTCTCATCCACAAGTAATGTACTTGTAATCCTTTGGGAAATTCAGTAAGGATTAACTAGATTTATCTAAAAAAAAATTTCTACCTCTCACCTTTGAAAGAATACGTTACCCCAAACTCCTATACTCTATCATGATTTTCCTACAGTCGAGTCTCAGTGCGCTTGTAAAGAGAAAAATAACTGATCTGCTGTAATCCAAACATCTGCACAGCATCAATATTGATTCAAAGTATTACACTCTTAATACTTAATAAAACAGCAGCGTATCACATTTTCACCATGTACAACACACGCATACAGATATATCTCACCAGGAAAATCACAGGAGGACAACCGATCAGGGCTATCGCTGTAGAAAGTTTGCGTTTGTTCCCACCGCTGTAGGTTCCTGCTGACTTGGTGGAATATTTGACCAGCCCCAGCTTCTGGATCCCCCACTCAGCCACCTTTTGAAGAGAGAAATCAAAGTGATCAAAACCCATCGTGTTGTCAAGGACAGTTCACCTAAGCCCCATCATTAGACTTAAGATGAATGATATTTTGGCTTGGATCGCAAATGTATTTACGCTGTGTGGCTTTCAAGGACAAGACATGACAGCTGGCATCGCTTTAAGACCTTAATCACAGGCTGCTGAGGTACCGTTCTCCTTGCTATTTAAACAACGTCTCGTCAAACACCAGCAGTCACGAACGTCGCCAAAGCGCACAGTATCACCGGGTCTCAAAGGACACGTTTAGGTGCCATATTAAAATGCAGTCAGTGGGACCTGCATTTCACTTCCAGTACATTTCTTGAAAACACACATGGACATTTCTGTTTACCAATTATGCAAATATGACTACACAAGGGCTCATACTGGATTGAGAATCGCCCCCACAAAAGGCATATCACAATGGGTCACAGTAAAATTAAGTTATGCTAGCAGCGCAGAACTGGGTCCCTTTACACCGCAGCTAAGAGATCAAAGCCCTGGCGCCGGGTCTGATGCCGATGGTCGTTGCCAGCCTCTTCCTCTTTTGATCTTACCATTGTAGAAGCGGGCGGTGCGAGAGGAATGGATGGAGGACGCGCAGGGCCAGCCACACCACTGGGCATGGTGAATAATGTAGAGCCATAACCCACAGCTGCTGCTTTTCTACCACCGGCCATTTTTCATTATGCATGGCTTCTCCCATTGAGGTTATCTATCACTTCGACATGCACTTCAGCTTGCCTTAAATGCATTGTAGTTGAACAGTATTTTTAAGGTAAACATAAAATAAAAAGACATCTGAAAGGAAAGAAACATTTCTTGTACATTTGAGGCTTTTCACATTTTTTTTATATTTCAATTACAAAAGCTTCACAGCTTATATACAGGAGCTACTGAAGTTAAAGTAATGGTGCTTCACAACATCTGCCGTGAGTAAAACAGTTAACTATGTTATTAAATGTACAAGGACAAGATGTATGAAAGGATGGAATGGTTACCATGGAGACCTCTTTTTCTGGTACCCCTCGTAACCTGGCGTAAAACTCCAGATGCTCTCGCCCATTCAGCAGGTCATCAATAGCGTCAAACTGGGGACAGTAGCCCAAGTTCTGGTGCACGTCTCTCATTTCTGTCCGTATGCTGGGACAAAGAACACATTAGTGTGATTTGAGACGTTTAAGATCGCAGACAGAGCATATGATATCAAATATACAATGAACAGTTAGAAGGCATCAAGCCTACACAGTTCGTTACACTATTATATTTCAACGCAAAATAAGCTTAAAATGAATTTACTTGAAAAGATTCATCAAATATTCACAATACCTTGATAAGAAAGAGGAAAAACTAACATAGAGCAGCAGAGTGCTTCATGTCATATGATGTACTCGTGGTCTCAAGCCCCAAAACAAAAACACTGCAGTCTCTTCTAGAAATACCAACATGCACCCTCTAGAGGCAAATAAAACAATGGCAGCAAATAATATTGGACCCATTTTTCCCCTCAAATGTTATTTTCCAGGAGCGACGGTCAGCCTGAGGGAGGCTAAATGTCATTGGCTGTGTCTAGAGGCTGCTGGATCTCAACAAGGCCACCGTGAAATGAAAGCTTTACTGATCTAATATTGTGTTTTGTTTTGTCTTTGATAAAGGTTCATGTCAATAGCTGGTTATACAGCCTTTAGCTTGTTCAGGTTGTTCCACCACAGCTTTTTAGGTAGCTCCACCCTTTTTAGTTTGTTAGCACCATGACACGATACACATTTTACAAGTTTACTGCCCTAAAATAGAGGCATCCATGTCCCTCCAACCATACAACAGGCAGTGAACTTGGCATCATACATGTGTATGAGTATAGTGTCTTTCTATATGTTAATGAAAGAAAATCACCAATCCAAACTAATTCTTATTTTAATTTATTGAAAAATGTCATCTGTTTGACTAACATTCTGTTTGCTTTTAGCCAAATAGCTAATAACATAGCCAAAAGCACAGATGCTAAATAAAAAAAGAAACATAACTTGCTTATATTCAATTTTGAAATGCTTGGCGGCAACAAGTGTGGCCAACAAGTGTGAAAATGACAAGGTGTGATTTTATGAGGAGTTGTATGGTTAATTAGTTAACTTTAAAGGTACTGGTGGGCGGATTCTTTTTACTTTTGTCTTCATGCTACACTGAGCTAATTGCTAGCTAGCTGTGTCTTCATATTTAGGGTAAAGACAAGACACTGATATCAATCTTCTCCTCTAACTCTTGGAAAGAATGCATATAAGAGTATTTCCCTGAATGTTGAACCATTCCTTTAAGAAAAACAATTATGGGTATAGTTTATACACACACACACACACACACACTTAACTTTCATTAAACACAATTACAACTGCGGCAGTCCACTGCTGCTGTCAGTTTGTTCTTGGTCTTTCACAAGAGAAAGCCAATGAACCATTACTGTCTGTTAGCAGGCTAGCTTTTCCAAGCTATTCCTGAGTGTTATGAGCGCACAATCTCAGATAAGAGAGACAATTGTCAGGAGAGCAAAAACTTCAATTTAAGAGATGGTGCTTTCTCTCTACTGACGATCATTTTGCTTGCCAATGCACAGAAAGCGCAATGAGCTGAAAACAGGAGTGTGGGCGTACTCACATCTGTTTTTCTCTCTTTTCAGTTTTTGTTTCCCCTAAAGGTTTCTGGGATTTTTCTTTTATCTCTGTTACCCATATTAATCAACATTAACACTGCTGTGTTAGGCCGTGTTCTCTTTAGCTCTCTTTCTTTGTTGAACACAAAGTCAATTACCAGATGTAAAAATGAACATCTATAGCAACCGCTGTGACGCAAAACCAACCGCAGCTTACACTCAGCCATGCTCGGATGTGCTGCCTCGTTGTTTGTTCCTAAAAATAGGGAAGCGTGAGTCTTCCTTCGCCCAAGTGCTTGAGTCCCATACTGCTGGTGTCAAGGTATTTTTTGGCATGTACAAAGATTTCTTATGACTGATTCTGTAAGGCAGATACACAAAACAGAGCGAGGTACAGGGCAAGGATGTGAAAAGGAATGAAATATGTGCAAGATGTGCAAGAGACAGGAAGAAAGCGAGAGCAGAGTCTTCAGCATTTCTGAGAATATCACAGTGAGGAGACATGAGAGAAGCAAAGTTGAAAAGGCAGAATGTATAAGAGATACCAAAACTACCTAGCCAAAAAAAAACAAAAACAAAGACAGAGAGTAAGAGAGAAATAGAAAGCTGTGTTACACAGAACAAGAGAAGCTGAGGAAGGGTGTAAGCTATAAAAAACACCATAGCTCAGTCCCCATCTGGGCAGCCATCTTGGGTGGCTAATTATGATGAGTTACTCGGTGCACTAGTGGGAGTTAGCGCCTCACCTGTATCCATTTAGGAAGGCCTCTCCACTGGAGACTGGGATGTCTCCTGTCAGCATCTTGAACGTGGTGGTTTTCCCAGCTCCGTTGATTCCGAGCAAACCAAAGCACTGATGGAGACAATGGGGAGGCCTCCGTTAGGAAAACAGTCTTTTGTAGATACAAGCCTCATTGTAAAACAGGAGACAATGGTGGCGGATGACGTTTCAAATATTCTGTATGATTAGCTTTCTTTTGAATAAATAAGTTCCATTAACCCCTTTAATGACGTTTATCTACAGACTGTGTAAATATTTATTCACTGCATTCTATCAGAACTACACATTATCCAGTATTTACGTCTGGTTCAGCGTAGCAAAATAAGAAATTAATATATTTCTGTACACAAACAAAACAAACGCTAAATCAACACGGCAGGCACACAGGAACAAATACTGTTAAAACCCAAGCATTCCCAACAGCATTTCTCCCTGCCTCTGTAAATTTCTACAACAAACACCACCCTTTCTCTGTCTTTTCTCCGTCATGCTGCACATTTGGCTTCCCTCCGGAGGGCATGCGGCAGGAAGTTGTCTCTGCGGAGCCCGGGCGGTCACGTGACCCGCCTTAGGTGCTCTGGCTCCGGCATAAATATTTGATTTCTGTCATTCATTGATCCCTGCTTGTTTGTGACCTATGCTTGTGAATGCATAGAAGCGGACTAAGCTTGATGTAAATAATGCATGGAAATGCAATGTGTGATCAGCAGAGCCCCGTGAATGGCAATATTCGACTGGCATTTACATTGGGCTTTGAGTAAACAGTGGAAGGGAGGATGGATACCGCAAAAAAGCCTGTGTGTGTGTAATGTGTAACATGTTATAATGAGTAAAGATCTATTACACTGACAGTACATCAATTTTACTTAAAGGTTCCTTCAAAAACTGTGTCAAAGTTGGCTTTCTTGTATTTGGTTAATTTAGTTTCCCGTTGCTAATTTACACGTGTATTGTGAATGTAAATATCACTGGGTCCTCATGTCTTCGCTTCACAGACTCCGTTGCTCTAGCAATGCTCTTCTGCTAGCCTTCTTGTGTGTTTTTAGCACACACATGCTTGGCAGTAGCATAATGGCAGAAAACAAACCCGATAAGGAGATTAGTGTTCCTCCTCACGCCTTCTCTAAGCGGCATTTGGAAGATATTTAGATTCGACTCAGTAAAAGACAAGACAGTGCCAAACACCAATTCAAATCTTCAAGTAATAATTGTAAACCGTAAACCAAAGCCCAGGCAGAGAATCTCTGCTCAATGCTCCCTGCTCTCATGTGGTATTATGTTGTAAATATTATCATAATTATTGTTGAATGTGTATAATTTAGTCAATTCATATCCAAATTTTATCTTCACAGGCAACACAGAATGGGCTTTTCTGGTGAATTTTAAAAAGTAAACAAATGTGTAAATCCAAGAAAGTCCTCTAACACGGACAAACACTGAGTCTATAGGCTTGAAAAGGTGCTTGTGTGATTCAGCAGCATTTGGCTCACCTCTGCAGCAGGTACGCCCACACATAGCCTGTCCACAGCAGGGGTGCTCTTCCGAGAGTATACCTGCAGGGAGCAGACAATAAAATGAATCAACCAGCCAGCCAGAAGCAGAGGGAGAGAAGGCAAGAGGCAGGGAAGGCTGGACAGCAGGAAGAGAGAAAGATAGCATGAGAAAATATGAAGCGATATAGCAGAGCAGCAGGGAAGAGTAGAGATGCGAAGAAGTAGGTGGGTAAAGGAGGGAGAGAGAAAGTAAAGGAAACAAATCTTAACAAGAAGGGATCATTTGCAACATTTAGAGCTGGCCAGATGGGAAGAGGTATTCAAAAAACACTTGCACAAGGGGGGTGGGGGACGTGAGCATTAGTATTTTTGGCTGCAGTGACAGTATTCATGAGGAAAACTGTCTCCACTTTGAGTACCACTTCAGAACCCTCAATAACCTTGTCAAGTCACCCAATATTTATGTATGGACACCAACTTTCGGTGCAGCCGCATTCAGTGGACTCAACATGCAGTGAAATGACATTACTGAAAAAAGCATGCTGTTCTTTACAAAATCTGTAAAACATGATGTAAGTAGATATCAAGTCTAAAAACCTACAGCCACACCAGGGATTGTGTATGCATGTGATGCTCATTACGCACTAGAAAACCAAATTTTTGGATAGATGAAGAGCGCAGAGACAACTTGGATTCTTGCCACTAGCAGCTCTCGGGCTTAGCTGTGCTTTGGGCTCAAGTGCTAAAGTAATGCTAGCATGCCTACAATTGCCATATTAAAATTGCATGCTACTACAATATTAATCACCACCTATTTAGGCCACTTTTTTGGGAAGTGGAACAAGCTTTAAACACAAACATTAACATATTATGAATGTGAGTGCTGGAGCATGTTAGCAGACGGCCCGCCTATTTACACATCCAGCAGACACAGAGCAACATTAGCATTTATTTGGAGTTGTGTGTCTGGCCACCTGATGAAGTCCAATATTCATTCTCCAAACGTATTGACGTTTAGCATTAATAAAATACAAAAGAGGCTGATGGGATTGGTTTAAGTAATATCCTGTTCTAAACTGAGGTGTTGGACCAGGTCAAATTCTGACTTGTTGGTGTTGCTACATGAAAAGTTATGGAATCGCATGAAGTCATGAATATTCATCGTCTGGTGACCATGAATATCTATACCAAATTTCAAGGCAGAGAAGCCATCCTTAAAGCTCCTCCCATGGCTAAAAATTAGACCCCATGAGGTGCAGAATCCAATCTCTATGGACCACATAGAGAACTTCTCACATTCTGATTGTGAGTCAGTATCCTGCAAAGATCATGGAGCGGCACTGGAAATGAGAAAGTGATTGATGTTTTTCACATCTCACTTGAAAACTTTCCATGCCGCATCCACATCCTCCCCCGCTGACCAGCCTCATCCACGCACGCTTGCTTTTAACTCTGCATTGTCAGACAATCTCACCAGAGGAGGTAAAGAAACCCCCACTTGAAGCAACATGATCTGTTACAATCTAAAAAAATACAGCCGGGCGAACATTCGACAAAATGAGGCATTTAGTGCATGAGGTGTTTTTCTACATCCAAGACTATGTTAGGGTTTGATATGATTTCAAAGTGGTTTGAAAGCAGTGTTGTCTTGCTGTATCACAGAAAGACAAGACAAGGCCTTTGTTGTGGATGCTGCATGTGACAGTCAAGACATTTAGCATTCAAAATCAAGGACAGCAATGTGTTCCTTTGAATTCTGAAAAAAGTGACTACTGTTGGCTGGGTTTTCGATTTTTAAAAAGTTGAAAACATAGTTCTCGATGACTGCTGTGTGTGTGTTTACGTGCCTGTATGTGAGTGTCAGAGAGTGTACGTTCATTAAAACAGTATAGTGAGGTTTCTCAGTATGAAGGATACATTTCCTGCACAGAATCTCAAGTAAACCAAATATCCACTATTAAAAACAGTCAACTGTCCCAGCTGCAGTCAGAATGCTACCAGGCAAATGTAAATTTAGAACTGCCACTTCAAGTTTGACAAACAATGTCATTGCATTTATTTCAGTTGGCACATCAAAAGCATTTGATAAAACAGGAGTTGCACTGATCCATTATTCTTTCAGTGCCATCTGGCAGCGGCACTCATCACTTATCAACCTGGTTACACATACTACTTTTTAGTGAAAGTTTGCAGCACTAAAGCAACATCAAAGCAGCAGATACATGTAAGGGGGGAAGGCAATTAAAGGACAAGTCCCCTCTGACTCGAGTGCCACAGCAGCTGGCATGATAAGCAATCAGATGAGACTGTTGAGACAGAATTTGATGGCGGCATTTGTATAAACCTAAAATACAACGTAGATTTAGTTTGGAAAATTAAAGACTCCGAATGCTGTATCTCAGATAGTTAATCATGACACTTTATATAATACAGGACTAGGACTAGACAGCATTTGGTTTATTCATGCCACAATTGGTTCTTATGACAGTAAAGACAATATAAACACAATATAAAGATCATCCTCACATCTATTTGTAATTTCACGTCCTATTTGTGTGTTTACTTTTCACCTACATATATAAATATGTTTTTACCAAATCATATAATTTGTACTTCTTGAAATTAACTGAGCCACTCCACAATCTTTCCAAGAACCCTTGGCAACTGCAGAAGTACCCCTGGTTAGGACTCATTGTGCAAAGGGATGTATAATATTTTGATAAGAGAATGAAATGAAAAAAGTACCAAAGAATATAAATGACATTGTGAGAAAGTAAAAATCACAAATGAAATAAAAAAAAAAAACAACTGAGAAAATACAAGAAAAAAGCCAATGTTGTACACAGGGTTCTACAAGGCTGCAAATGGTTTTGTACCAGAAGATACATATAAATTCAATTAAAATTCAAAGAGGCCCAGTTAGAGAAAATTTCCCGAATCAAAGGTCCAGAACATCATAGTGACTAACGTGCCTCATCATTCAGTACTATAACGTATAGTTGTATCAGCATATAGGCCTTTTTTTAGTCAACAACTGACTGACAATTTCAAATAATATTTCAACAATATTTACGGTCAGTTTTCACATCAAACTGGAGGGATAATAAATAATAGCTACTCAAATAATACATTCTAAATTTAAGTAAACTAAAGGCTGTATTTAAAAAAAAAAAAAAAACGTTTTTAAAATTATTTTAAAATATAGTGCTTAATTTCAGAAAAATAAAAAGTGTAGCTTGAAGTGACTGAAGTGCAATCTCAACCAATTTTTCCTCTTATGTACCACTTTCCTACTTTCTCTTGTTCAGTGAGAAACGTGAGCTCTGGCTAGGTTTGGAGATGTATGAGTATATGACTCAACTCAATGCTTTTCAAAATACACAGATTTGATGAGCAGCATCACATTTTGTAACACATGCAATTGTTCTGTGACTTTCTTGTGCAGCTAAACCGATACAGTAAATGCTAGAAAATCTGCTTGGGTTAAAACAATAATGCGCCGTCACAAAGTAGTGGTTCTCATTAATAAATCGGCTATAGGGTCGGGAATCAGGAGAGGACAACGGCTGGTTCCGGATTATTGACAATTAGTGACCTCTGATAAATAATTTGGTAGACAAAGGCAGCCCGTCTGTAACCCTACATAACAGCGCTCTTATCAAATGAGTCTCATCTCAACCACTTATATGCCAGGAGCACATATTATCACATAAGCGTACTTATAGTATGCCAAGGTGCCACTCATCACTCATTAGTCCCTCACTAGTCCTCAAACAGCTGTCACAAGGTTCTTTAAATCTTTCTCTGTCATCTTAGTGAGTGACTGGAAGGTTAAACTGACAGCACTGGGCCTGGAAAATGCTCACAGACAGACACACTTCCATTTCAGTCTCCATCGATTACAGTGCCGGCACTAATGCAGCAACTAAGTGGAGGCTAGCAGGTGGGGCGCTCCTATTTAGAGCAGCAGGAAAAGGAAGGGGAGGAGCAGGAATTTGACACATGATTGATGGCCTGTCAATCGCTTCAGAGGCATGCTTAGATTTATGACAGGGCTCAGCCTGTGGCGCACGGCCACCGAAGCCACACGCTCATTGATCAATTTGTTATCTACACCCCAAATGGATGGGGCACAGCTGTGGTGGGAGTCAATGAGGGCACGGCAGGAGGAATCCTGATGCCTTCTGCCACCGCGCTGCTGTTTTTGTGTGTTGATGGGCCACTGTCTCATCTCAGAGAAATATTATCAGCTATGAAGGTGTGTATGAACAATGGCTGCTTGTCAAGAGCAGACAACCTCAATCAAATGTAATCTAATATCTTACAATTTACAGTTCTAAAGCTGTCTTCATAGTAGTGATGTTGTGTTTTCACATGTTCACAGTGCTTTAAAAAAGTTCTCTCTACAAGGGAACGTTCTCTACTTCTTCTCCACACCTTTTCACCTTGCAAGATGATTTGTAATTCATTACCCTTCCAACTGTTTTATCCAGCGCTTGTTCGGTAATTACCCTAGGGAGTGTGCCTCACGTCTGTGAGCAATGAGTGAAAGATTATAAGTTATAGTGAGACTGAGAAAACCCAGGGAGTGAAGGAGTGGAGAAGGGTGGTAAGACGCAAAAGGGTGTTAGATCGTCCAGCTGTCGGCACTGGAGCTGCAAAGCAGGCTGCTGTGGTGACACTTCCTGCTGCCACGCCGCCCGCAGGGAGGGAACATCTGCCGATGGATGAAGCATAAATCTCATCGGTGTTGAGGCACGCACCGTAGCACCACGCTCGACTTCACCTACCGCAACGGAGGGTAGGTCCAGAGCTGTATAGGAGTTCAACCCTTTACATCCCTAAGAATGCAATCCTCCTTGGGTTCTCATGCCCACTGCAGACTAGCCACCTGTCGCCCCATCTTGCCTTGCAAACCGAGTAAAGTGGAGGAAAAAGCCACCCCCTCCTCCCACACACATCCACATGCACAGATAAAGTCAAAAAGTGTAAGCTTTCAATAGTTTAGGATATAACTGGGGTTATTACTGGATAATGTCAGAAAACAGTAACATGAGGCCTCATCAGAGAGGTTAATGGCAGGAGAAAAAACACAGTGTTGTTTCTTTCGGTTAGTCTCTCTGAAAAGCTCTGAAAAGGTTAGAGTAAAGAAATAGAACGAGAATAAGAGAAAAAAATATATATATATATTAGGGCTGGGCATTAACGCATTACTTAATTAACAATGACAATTACTGTTGATGTCCTATTTAGTAAACAGTAATAGATTCTGCAAACAGTTCAAGACAATTCAACTTCGGCAGTTGGCGGGCGTGTGCGTGAGGTGAGACTTGTCGCTGCACCTTCTGCTCGACCGCTTCCCCTCACTCTGACAGGGACACTTGCTACTTAAAATAGACTGTTTCTGCTGCTCCCTGATAAAAGAAAAATGTTTCTGCTGATACCTGTTCAGAAAACCCCCAAGAAAACAGGACTCTGATGGTAACTTGTTTTAACAAGCCAGATAAAAGGTAATGCCCTGGCAGTGGCAAATAGCTTTGGTTTTAAATTTGACTTGATTACATTAATATTTAAGTTGAGATTTACAAGAAATATTTTATTGCTATTGTAAAGGGAATACTGCTGGCAAAAAGCACCTTATTTGTTTAAAGCGTTTGCAAACCACATGTTGTTGCACTTTTGTGTACATAGCAGTACATTTAAATTAAAAGTGCGCAATACACTACTTTACTATGCGATTAATAGCGATTAATCGCAAGAACATCATGCAGTTAATCACGATGAAAAATTTTAATTGCTCAGCACTAATTTAGGATAGAATATAAATAATAAAATGGGTCCTAAAAATGTGTATATTGTGTGGATATTGGTCTGGTGTGTAGGAGTTTTTTTTTTCCACATGTGTAGACATTACATAACTTTGTACAGGCTGGAATGCAAAATATCAAAATGTGCAGGGCAAAGATTCACAGAGGCCAGAGTCAGAGAACAAAGTTCACCATCCTAATGACCAGAGGGACCAGAGGGAAGAAGCTTTCTGAGCGTCTCTGTGCTGAACAATTAAAAACAATCTCACATTTTATAAAAGACAAAGGAGATACAAACCAATAAACTTATCAATCATTCTCTGACTAAAAAACATTAAAAGAACTGACTAAAAATCATAAAAGCATATCATGTACCACAGTCAGAGCAATACTTTAGCAATAGCTCTGCAGAATACCTTAGTGAGGTCACAGATCCTCAGAAGGTCGTTCTGGGCCTTGCCTTCATAAACCCGCTTACGCTCCCGGGCAACATCGATATCCTCTTCCTCTGCAGATAACGACTTCCCCGAAATAAGCCTGGCGGAGAGAAGTCAACCACAGTTGGCATAACACCCTTCATTAAAATTAACATGAACTCGCTTGACAAATTATCTCGGTCAAAGTTTAAGCTCAGTGAAACAATCTCTGCAATTTTCACAAATAGTAAGAGCCACAGGCAGTAGTTTCCATGGCAACCTTGCTTCTGGAGTAATCACTCAGGCAAACAAAAACAAAAATAAATTTTAAAAATCGAGTAATATTTGCCAGACAGATTCACGCTGCAACAGATGTTTTTTTTTTATAAAAATGAATATGAAGTACATAAAAAATTAAAATGGGGGAGTAGAGGAAGGAATGGCTTGTCTGACTGAAACAAATACTGGATGAAAATACACAACTTTCCTGAAAACACGAACAACAGTAAGTAACACAAGGTCACTTTCAGATAGAGAGAAACTTTTTTTGGCCAGGATTTTGAGTTAATTCACTCCTTTACCTTGGTTTGCAGAAGAACTTATACTGGATGAGAATTGTGAGGGCAAACATGACAACTCCCTGGATAACCATGGCGAAAAGGTTCTTTCCCACCATTTCCCAGCTGAGTGGGTCCTTAAAACGGTCTTCTCCTGATTGGATGGGGGGAAAATGAGTTAAAAACTGGAAAAATGATAATAAATAATAAAGTCAATACACACAGGAAAAAAAGTTAAGTAATAAATGCATTAATGCTGTGTGTGTCATTTCATGTTGTTTTCCAGCTCTTATCTACAAGCTTAGGGGATGATTTTGCAGAAACATTGTCAAAACAAAAAGGAATTGCCAGATGTGTTTTTTCTTTCATGGACAGCCAAATACATCATCTTTGTCAAAAGTTAGCGGAGAGCTGGCACGTGTCAGCTCTTTGAAGTGTTTTTGAGACATATTCATTGGTGAAAGCCAACAGTTTAAAATGCCACTTAGCCTTAAAAATAAAATATGTACTTTCCCTGTTGAAGCCTCTTTTGGCTAATGAACACATAAGTAAGCCGTTGACAGCCCCCCCCCCCCTCTAATCATTTCTAACTCTGCCCTCTCTTTTTCCTGCCTCTCACAGCTTCTGCAGCCCATGAGCCCGAGGGGGCAGAGTAAGGAGACAAGGAAAACGAAAGCGCTTTCAGTCTCATTCTCTTGTAAATAGCCCCTCTCCACAAAAGCCCTTTAAGGTTGTGATTGCTTTTCTTCCCCTGCTCTCCGTCACCACCGCAAATGATTCCTCAAACTGCTATTTCCTCCTCCATCTGTCTACAGATAAGTCTCCTCTTCCTCTCTGATGTGCCTCTTTGGCTCTTGATGGCCCCCTCAACCTCGACTCCACCTGTACAACCCAGGCCCCCTCTTCTCCCTTTCTCTTGTCTAAATTTATCACATGTAGAGAGAAGAGCTCTTGAGGCGCTGTGTCACTGGTCAAACATTTTCCTTGATGATGGCATGTTGAAATAGCATTTTCAACGTAATAGTGTAGTGTCATTTTAAAGGGATGGCCTGTTGTTTCAGTGTTGTTTTAGGGTCTAATACATGGGGAAGAGAAATTAAGCTGTTTTATATTCAAAGGTACCCTGTAGAGTAGTGTAGGAATGGATGAATGTAGCATTGTATGTGCACAAGCATAATGCACGAGTATGCGGGTTATGAAATACAGATTCCTGCCAGTGTTTTCACACTATTCCAGAAGAAATGCAGCAATGCACCAGGATAAGCAGCGAGGAAGAAGACTGCTAGCAGGTAAACAGATTTCCCAAAGATTGGCTTTGCAGTTGTTTTATTGCAAGGATACATGCAATGGGGAATATTTAGAAAGGGTTTATGATCCTTTTTATGTGCTACACAGTCAAATTGTGTTTGTCCTTACTTAGGAAAGGACAGCACTGAGGTTTTGTGCTGGTAAACGCAGACGCAAAAACCGCTGCGCTTTCTTTAAAAACTCAGACACAGGATGAGAGGCTGAGGGTTGAAATTGTTATTGCACTGGTCTTTGCTAAGCAACACAAATTTAAAAAATGTTTATTATTATTGTTTATTGTTATTTTGACACAAATTTACCTTTTAGTTTCCTCGATTTGCCTATTTTCCCTGACTTTAAATGGCTCAGATCAAAGATTAAAAAAAAAAAAAAAGGCTCAGATCAGCTCCATTCCAGTGTGATGTGACTGAAGCAGGCGGTAACACTTATTAAGTAAGCTGTTATTATTAGTCTATTTTTATTATTTGTTTACAGAAGTAATCTTGTCAAAGGAGTGGCAAGTTTTAATCAAAATCAAGCGGCTTGTACTGCTTGCACAACTCATTTAATCAATGAACAAATCACATCATTTAACTAATATTTGCTCACAGACAGCCTTCCTCTTGCAGTATAAGAAAATACTTGCATTTCCAAATGTGTTTCTTTTATTCAAAATTTAAAGTTCAGCAGCAGAAAATGCTGTCAAAAAGGCCCGACATCACGTCTTTACTAAATCAGATCCAATCCAAATCAGTTTTTAAACGAAAATGATCTCCGTCCACACCAGCGTTTCAGAACTGATCTCCGTCTTTATTAAAACGACTGAAAACATAAAGTGGCCTTTCACGTACACTGGGCCGGTTTAAACATGAAGCGTATGGTCTACTCTTTTTCGGCCAAAGAAGAAAGTACTACTAGAGATGAAAAACCACACCAGATTTTATTGCATGGACCGACAAAGAGGTGGAACTGTTAGTGAGAGTAGCACGGGAGTCCAAAGCGATAGTGGCGGCAGAAAAGAGACCGGGAGTCGTCGCAAAGTAAATACGGCGAAATGCACACTGTACAAGTAAATAAGAGTTATTTGCACAATATTTTAATAAAAATACTAAAAACTAAAACACTGTCAGTAGCATTGTGTTTTTGCTTTGCATGACTGATAAGACCCAATCAGGAAGCCAAATGTGAGTGTCTGCTTCAGTCTTCCTTTTTTGACCGCACTAAAACGCTACCCTGGAGTTTTAAAACAAAACGGGGTCAGCAGCATTTTTTTTTTCTTCTCCCTTTTAGGTCTGAGGATTCTGTGTTTTAGTCCGGACTGGAGGTGCACGCGTAGCAAAAGTTCTCCGTTTGAAAATGAAAACATAGTAGTGTGGATGTGGCCTCAGTGAATAACCCTGCTTCGTAAATATCTCCCCAAGTTGTCTATGAAGATTCTCAGTCATCCAGGTCATAGTTATCCAAATCAAGGGCAACTGGACTTGGTTGAAGATCTTCAACCAAGTCCAGTTGCCCTTGATTTTAACCTTCGTTGGATATCTCCCCAAGTGTTCTGCTGAATGACAATAAATGTTGTTTGTTTAGAAGAAAACTCCACAGGGCGCCTTTAAAGTACAGACCTGTACATTCACATTCTGCTGAAATCATGTTGTAAGATATATTTTAGAACAAAATAAGTGCACGCAGGTAAACAGGTAGGTATATAGACAGGCAGGTAGGTAGAAAAAAAACAATCTGAAATAAATTGCCTTCCCTAACATTACTGTTACACGAAGTTAAATATTAAGATGAGTATTTTCTTCTCAAGGACTACTTGATATGCTGATAGTGGTGGTGGCCTCTTACCAAAACCGCTGAAGAGGGTGGCCATTGCCTGGTTCTTAGCCATGTCAATTAGCCCTCTGCCCAGACAGAAATGTGGGAATATCAGCAGCACCTGCTTCACTATGTTGTTGATGCGGGAGACATTCTGTAACACATGGAAAATGCACACAATCACACACACAAGATACATATTGGTGGCAGATAAATGCTTTGAATATTTAAGCCCTGACTGGGAATTAGCAAGTACAAGCCCAATATGATGCCTCGCCGCCTTGAATCAGCAGGGCCAGCGGCGTGAGAGGTTTGGAAGACAGCGTGTAGCGCCCTGACGCAAGCGTGGATAATTAACATCCTGCACTCCATTTGCATGCTGAGCGCTGGTGTGTTGCAGGGCTCCAAGTGGCACACCGAGGGAGCATGGAGCATCTAAGTTCAGCTACCTCCTTGATGCTGTAATTTAGCAGACGTTAGGGAACATACTGTGCGATAAGTGAGGGAGCACACGTACAGTATGTGTAAACACAAACTGATGAGGTGGTGCTCAGGTAAGCAGATGTTCATCATAACTACAGTAAGGGTAGAAGGAGCACCCGGAGACCAAAGAGACGCAGCTGAAAAATAACGAAGTGTGAGAACACCTCCTCTCTGTGTGTCTGCCTCGTTTCTTTCTTCCGATACCGTATACAAGAACAAAGAGACAGATACATTCAAACGCAAAGCCAAAGCATATTGTTTCACTGTTTCACAGAGCATACACAAAAAAGCCAGTCTTATCTTGACAGGGCATTTCCTAGCTGCAACTCGTCTTTCTCCCCAAAAATTGCACTGTCCCTTTCTTCCTCCCTTTCCTCCTGCCTGAGGCTACGATTCAATGATGGCCCAGTGAAGCACAAAAGAAATACTTAAATAAATGAAGACACAATGGATGGGGCTGTAACAAACTGGCTGAAATAAGGAAGTACGGGGGGGGGGGGGGGGGGGGGGGGGGGGGCAAAATATTACTACGTTTGGCGCAGCATGGCGTTCGAAAGCTAGATCATGCATTATGCATTCTGCTTCATTGCAGCAAAGTCTTCAAAGCTCTTGCATACATGGAGGGAGACTATAAATTCATCATTTTTGGGCAAGCCCAAGCAAAGAGTAGGTGGGGCGGGGGTGGCAGTGCATTTTGTTAAAGCTGTGTGCAAGATTTCCAGATGATGGCCATTATTGTCGCAGAATTTATTCATGGGTGCGTGTAACTGCTCTGTGATTTATTAGTTTTCCTGACTAAACTTTCAACTGGCAGTTGGGGATGAGTGCACGAAGCCTTATGAGTCTGTCAGCCTTAAAAAAAAACAATCCAAATGCAAGATTTAAAGATATTTTTGTCAAATAAATTGTTTTTTTACTCTTTAAAGGAATAGTTAGACATGCTGGGGAATTATTTGCTTTCTTGCAGAGAATTAGATGAGAAGATTGATACCACTATGTCTGTGCAGTGTGTCGTCAGAGCCAACAGCCGGTTAGCTTAGTTAGCATAGACTGCAAAAAGGAAAAAGCTATGCCGGCCCTGTTCAAAGGTGATAAAAACAAGCTCAAAATTCAAGCTGAAGAGCTATGCTGATATCTTGTATGCAAAGTCCTTTGGCCCCAATCTAAAATCAAAATTTATGCAGCAAAACACTCCAAGTAAAAAAGAAGAAAGCAATCTCACTTAATCGTCTCCACTTGTGGCAAAACATACGGTATTGTTCAAGATCAAAAGTGGGCACATTATCTGTGAGATGATTTTCTTTGCAAGAGTAGGTGGTCATTGGCCTGGTTTCTCTCAGGCAGATATGAGAGCATGATGAAAAGCCCTCATTGATCATGATGTCAAAGCAAACCTCCATATGTCCGGCAATGTGTTCAACAATAATTCATCATTCCTTTTTATCTGCACTTAAACATTTGCTTGAGGACTGAAAAGTACAAAGAACTGCAATCACAATTCATAGCTAAGAGTAAAATCCAGTGTAAACTTGGTGGGCAGATCATCTGAAAAATGAAACCCTTTCTTAAATCAATCCGTATTCATTACATTCAGAATAATCTGTTAAAGATTATGCCAAGAAAACACAACAGGGAAAAAATATGTATTAAATCTGTGACATTTTTATGACTAATTCTTATAATTGCTCATACTAATGGGAAAATGGGAGCTAAGGTGCGTTCAGGAACATTATTTTACATGATCAATTCCAATGAACAGTTTACTCTTAAATGCATTTCCTGAGCCAGTTTTTATGCTTGACTTCTATATCTAGTCTTTCCATTACAGTAAACTTGCTGGTTTTTCTGTTAAATATGCATGGACAGTTTTTGCAGTCGTGCTCCATGTTTATACCCAGAGATGACATTAACACTACTGGATATTTCCTTACTGTTTGCAAACATTTAATGTCAAACACATCTTTATCCCCCCCAGTTGTTTGCAAATGTATGCAAATGTTCAAATACGTGCACAAACGAGTCTAGGGATTTGCCGAAGGCACCTCTGTTCTTTACATTCGTAACATAAGCTTATACAGAGATAAAAAAAGTCAAAACAACAAACCGCAATGACCTTGGCTGAATGCGGCCCATCTGTCTGGCAGAGGAATGTGAAGAGACCTAATTTGAGATCAATACATGAAATAACACATCTTCTCTTGACTGGGTGTTCATTGAGGAGATCTAAGAGGCTCTTATTCGGGGATGATGAAATGCGGGACAATTTTACTCCTTACGTTTGTGCTATATGCCCATAAATCATCAAACGGTTTTGAAGGTGGTATGGTCTGCGAGGTGCTTATCTGACCCACATCGCTACTTGTGCTTATTCCCACAGCACGGCTTCATTCATAATGCCGGGAATCACAATGAGAGCGGACAGATACAATATACGGCTCAAACGGTCTAGGTAGATATTTTCTGGAGATGATATTCATGTTTTTTTAAGCTACTGCAGTGCTTGTGAAAAGGCTTGAGCGCTACCGACAAGCTAATCCAGACTGTAACAGTGATTTTTTTTAAGTGAGAAAAAACTTGACTTAGTCAGCTGTTACGAACAATTCACAATTTAAAACTTCTGCTTTTAAGGCCTATTTTAAAACTCCTGTCAATAAAGGCTGCTGGACTTCATACAATGCACTCCAAAAACACTACACGAGGAAGGCAGCACCTGGCCACACTGCCACACCTATCCTGGAAAATCTATCCATGCCTGTGTTTATCTCTGAGTGGCACGTGGTGGAGGTATTGACTCAGACACTGCTTCGAGCATACAAGGCAAGCTGGGATTGATGCAATCCACAGGGAGTTGGACACTCCTGAGGGGAAGAAAAATCTCCCATTGGTCTCGAGACAAAACTGGGGCACCGAGTCTGTAACACTGCAGCTCTGCTTTCTCACTCCGTTACTTTTTCTCCCGGAAAAAAATGGTGCTATGCCCAAAAGGGATCTAGATTCACCCTTTGCTTGAAAACAGAGTGAAGCCTGTAGCTTTACTTTTGAGCGACATTGTTTAACTAATGCCACCGCTGAGGAGTCTAAAAGTGATGAGACGGAGCTTTAGAAGAGTAGAAGTCGCAAAAAGGAGAAGACTGGGTTGATCTGTCATGCGTTGGATCTACCTTTTCTGCCTATCCAGGGCACATCAGGGCACTGTCGTGTCTACGTTTGCTGTTTTGTGAAGAGTCTGTTCCGTAGAGATATCCGCTCTGAACAGGGCACACATGGAAACCCGGAGGGATGTAACGGTTGGTGATTGATGTCGACCTGTTGGGTTCTCTTATCAGCAGTGAAATCAAGTCAGATTAGCAGAATTATCCTGAACCTCTGTCCCTGTCAAGTCTAAGAGAAACACTATCTCTGTCCCTAATGCCTTGGACAAGACAGTTGTGCCATAAATCCGTCCCTTTACACTGCAAGTGGGCAACATGCTGTCCATTAAATTATCACCACTGGCACCCTTTATGAGTAATACGCTCCACTGTATCAATAAATAAAGTGAATGCAGAGACAATAAAATGGCAACAACATTCTTTGAGGAGAGACATGCCAACCGAAAAATAGAAACTGATAATGAATGCTCGTGATAATGAAATCACAATGCAAATGAGGCAGCCTTGTTAGGAGACAGGAAATCATCCCATGCCATCGCCGAGCGGCGCCAGAGGAAGTCAGAGGCAGGCTGTGTCAGAGGGGACAGAGTGTGCAGAGGCAAAGTCTTTCAGAAAACATTACGCTCCGTCTGAAGTGTCGGATCAGAGCTGTGGGAGACATTCTGATGAAGCATCAGACGTATAAGGAGCTTGTCAGAGAGTAGCACGCCGTTGTGTCTTTTGACAAGGAATGAGTGATCAGCGCGAGGCTAAAAATATGAAGTGAAAAAAATCCAAAGGGTGGACGATGTATGCTAATCACTCAAGCAACAATTAAGTCTACAAATCTAATTAGACATGTTTAGTTCAGAGAGAAAATGGAGAAGACATCAAGAAAAGAAGATCATTTTCTCAATCATCACCACCTGTAAGGAATGGCGGTCCTGTTATTGAGATTTCTGGCTGTTGCACAAATTGTACAGTCAGAATAGGCCAATTTCTCTCTTTTGTTTTTATGAAATGTGATTTAAAATATAATCAAAAGTAAAACGACTGATACTCAACATCTCTCTCTCTCTCTCTCTCTCTCTCTCTCTCCTCCTAAGCTCTCCATTTCTTATGCAGTTCTTTTTTTGGTGTCTTTGTCTTTTTGATTCCCCTGAGACTGAATCAGCTTGCAGTTAAAATGAATACTTGGTGAAAGATGGATGAGTAAAGTTCTCCGAAGACTCAATTCTCACCAAACTATTAAACATTAAAGAGAATAGGGGGGAAAAAACTCCTTTGAAAAATCCTTGAGAGGATAAAGGAAATACTGTATATTAAAAGTTAAACCAGGTGGGTACACATTCCACCCACATGCGAATGGAAGCCTTTGCTTTCAAAACACAGAGCGTTTATCTATGATTCAAGTCTTAATTAGCCATCCACTGCTATAGCTTCCAAATATATTTTTTATGCAGCTATGGGAACCTGAATGTCTGTAACTGTGCAGTCTCCTATTTTTTCCATCCAATCCACAATATGTGTGTGTGTGTTTGCATGTGAATGCCACTTACATCATCATCAAAGAGCTCCATAACAAAGGTGGCCACGCTGCCGTTAATACCAATGAAGAGGTTGATGCAGGTCAGCACCACGTAGGCTGTGCTGGGCACGCTGAAGATGAAGGAGGCGGGGTACATCATGGGGGTGATGGACCAGCTGCAGAAAAAACACAAGACACTGTCACACAAAACAGACAGACAGGGCAAACAAGGGTCCCACGACCTGATTCAACAACACTGCTGTATAGTTTAAGACAAAATAGAAAAGTACCGAATTTAAAAGATCACCTGAGGATTTACTTTCAGCAGACCATCCTCATTCAACTCAACACCAGCGGTTATGTGACAGCAGTGGCCAATTTAGTTAGCAGAATTTAAATAAATGCTGAACTATAAAGACATAATCTTGTCAACCAGGAACCTCTAATACCTGGAAAAGTACGATAATTGCTTGCTGTCGGTATTTGATTGGTGGTGATGGTCTTCTAACTAAAATAAATCTTTTTTTTTGCTCCTTAAATGTCCAAACGGATGTATATACGCCGACAAGAAAACATAAGCAGCACACGTTGCACAATCAAGCAACTTTCACCATGTGGGATCATAATGCTCATTTCCAGCGTAGGGACAACCACTATGCCATTTTTTCTTCAAAACTTGTTAGAGTGGTAGAAAAGACATTCACGATGGCCACTAAACAAAATGAAGTGCTGCTTGTACCCCAGGTATTGCCGTACTTGAAAGAGTAAACAATTTGACCAGAAATAACTCAGGGGAATACTGGAAGTACTGACTTTTTGATTTACTTACCCATACAGAATAAGCAGCAGAATCAAAGCAGGCAGGTTAGCAGGTGAAACATAGGCTTTTTGCTGAAAGCTGAGGAAGATCCCAATCACAATCAAACATGGGATGATGTAGTTACACTGTCAAAGCAAACATAAACAAAAAAATGAGCAGCTAACCCCATCAGAAGTATAGGGGCCAGTGCATGGTTAAGATATTGCTCTTTAGGGCCTTAGTGACAACATATAAAGCTTTCTTTTGAAATTGTATTTATCATATTTTTCAGACAAACTGAAAAAATTTGTAATTATGAAATCTGTAGATTACTTTATTTTAATTAGCTCTTAAAAATACCCATCTTTAATTTTCTAATTAATTCAGTGAATAACAGACCCATCCGATTCTCTCCTGTTTGAGGCAAGTGGTCGCTCGACGACACACTGAACAAGAACAAGTCTACAAGGGTTTTTATAAAATGTTCAACCAAGAGACCAACATTTATTTAATATTTCCTTAAATGAAGTCAATGTCAATAGAAGGTTGTAGGTTTTACTTGTAGGTTAAATATTCCTTTCAGCTGCAGAGCTCTTTAATAAAACAAATCCACAGTTTTCCACTGGTGAATAAATTACGTTACTATAGATAAAATAAACAGAATTTATCATGTTACAGTGACACTGATGTTTGTTTGCACATGACAAAGAGCTTTCAATCTGGATTCCCTGTAATATCCCTATTGCTGACAGAGCATACATGCTAATGCAAAGAACTGCAGGCCTCTTCCACTCAGACAGCATTTATCCACTATAATGAGCATCCTGATGCCATTTCTTTACCAAAGGTACCTGATAAAATGTTTACTTCCATTATGCCTAAGGGGAACTGCCAGTAAGCCTGTTGAGCGTAACCAACGGGGGCAGCCTGTATCGATAATTGCACCTCAGACAATAAGTGTTGCTCAGGTGAAGCTTTCCTGCAAGCCAGCAGTGCAAAGCTACATTATCAATTATAGTGGATGGATTTTTTCTCTTTTTTTTACAAAAAGGCCTTAGGTGGAAAAACATTCTTCAGGGTAGCAGAAGAAACCAACTATGGTAAAATGAGGCACTTAAGCCTGAGTTGGATGAATCAAATAATAGTGCATGTCTGTGGACTACTTTTTACCTAGATTCCATTCAGTATGTAAAGCAGCAGCAATGCTAAATTGCACCTCAAGAATGGTCAATTAAGAGGTGACACAGCAACATGATAAAGCTGGTACTTACCATGTCCCAGGCAAAATTGGCCAACCAGTAGACAGCCGGGTTTACTCCACTGACAAATTGCAGATGCTTGGCTTTGGTCACCCTCTCTTGGATGAGGAAGAGGACAAAGCTGGCAGGGATGAAGGACATGGCAAAGATAACGCAGATGGACACCACCACATCAGTAGAGGTTGTGGCCCTGTGATTGAGTGGAACACAGAAAACAGGACATTGACTGGAGAGCTAAGCTAGATATGCTAAAACATGTAAGCCCTTCCTTCAGGGTACTGTAAGGTGCTTTAGATAAAACTGTTAAAAAAAACACCACACAAATTGGAATATGAGATATCTTTATGAAAATGCAGAACTTTAGCTCAGTGGAAATGGTCTCATGCTTCCAAGAAACTGATTAAAGTTTGAGCGGGATGTTTGTTGTATTTAAACGTTATTTCTGAGGGAATACTGGCTCACTTGATTTTCCATTTCACTGGGCACTAGTCCTTGCTATGTACCACAGCATCCATATTTATGTCTTCTGCCGCCATTCCCCCAAAAAAGGCTAAAAATATTACACGGACGTCAATGAGAATAGTAGAAACAGACAGCATACTCAGCACTGTGCTGTGGAAAACGCGTATGCAAGATTTTGTCATTGTGAAGACATTTTGACTGAAATAAAGTCGAGAGATTCAGAGAAAAGAGAACAGGTCTGTGGTTGGTTCTCTTGTTGCTTGAAATGAGCCAGATGACACTTAAACAATGCTGAGGCAGCATTTGGCTCATTTCCTGTAATGCAATAAGCGCACAACATTTATTACTTTGCCATGTTAGGATGCATTTAAACAAATTACATTACACCTTCTGAAGTAATCTGCATAACTGATGTTTCAGACGTGTGCTTGTTAGTACTGATGACCTAATTGGACTAGCATTATATACATTAATGGAAAGCACTGACAATGCTCTTTGAACATAATAAAAAAGCTTTTAAAGATCATTAGCCTTTGATAGGCCATTACGCTAGGTTCACCTTCAATTCATAGCTCCTGTTGGTCTCTTGGCAACCCAGTCAAAAGGAGAGCAGAGGAGCACATTTTAAAATCTTGACCAGACTTCTCATGTGTAAGAGTCTCCTCTTTTCATGTTAGAAACAAATTGTGCCTTTCTCCTACAAGACATTGACCTTCATTTCACCGTCGTATGTCTTCATTTATGCCATTCAGAGATTTGAAAACCTCCCCTCGTTGTGTCTGCTCAATCAGCACTGGAGAAGATTGCGGTGTATTCTTTTAACCCCCCTCGTCATCCTTACCCTCGGCCCGCGATAATCTCTCACAAGACTTCCTGTTGTGTAATTAGCATATTAAATAAGTCACCCCGTGTGGCTACATGGCTGTATTTATCATCGCCAACCAGATGCAATTAGAACACATAAATAAAACCATTCAAGGCGGTGGGTGCAGGCCCACATTTCAACAGGTTTCAAGGGCTGTGTGCTCTGGTTGGGTGGGGAGATAATGTAGGGGACAAAGCTGTAAATGATCTAACCCTGAATGCTTGAAGCTGGCTAATTGCTGTGAAGAAGAGGACAAGCAATCTGCTAATTAACTAATAATAGAAGAGCAAGAAAGATGAGCAGTGGGAGTAAAGCTTTACAGGATGTATTGTTTTCCTTTAGGTTTTTTTTTTTTTCTTTTTAATGACAAGTGCTGCGGGGCACAGCCAAAATGTTAAAGTGTAGGGGGGTTGAAAGCATGAGATAATTATCAAATCTGAAGCTCAAGGCACAACATTCAGGTTTGTTATTTGTATTATGCAGCCTTTTGTTAATAATGTAAAGAACCGTATTAATTGTGATAGGAGAAAATGACAAAGGATTTGGCAGCTGAATTGGGTGCACAAATAGCACGCACGAATCAGAAATATTAATTTGTTGATTGCAACTAAATTACACATCAATTTTAACACGGTGGCAAGAACACAAGTTTTTGTCAGTCATCACATTGATATTCCCCAGCAACTGAAAAGTGATACATATATTTCCATAATGAAATGGTGCCAAAGTCTGACATTTCTGTAGACGGCTGAGAAAATTGGTGGGCCCTATTTTCGAGTCAACGCAAATGAAGCACAGAGACCTCGCGTGAGTGAAGTGGTAATTTCGATGGGTGTAAGCATCGCCGTCCTTTCCAACTGCGTACTTTCACAATTTTGTGGCTCATGACATTGCTTGCATTGAAATTGGTTGGGAAGTGCGTGAGAGGGGAGTGTCACTTCAAATTAGACAGTGCAGTGCAATTTTGGTGTCCAAAACCTGTGGAGGGAACAAGTCATTAGTGATGAATTATTATTAGTGGAACAGCTCTACAAATTGTCTCTCAATGACATCAAGGAGGTGTCTATGAGAAATATCAATTCATTTTAGAGGCTGATGTTCCCTTACATTTCAGATTGTTTTTACAGGACAGGGAGACACTGTTGGTTATTGGTGGCAGGTGCTGGCTTTCTTAGCTCTCTGTAATACAGTTACTTTACTTGGGCTGTTGACAAGCAAATTACAGTTGACATCACAACCACACTGACAGGTACGCACAGCAAATTGACTTTGAGAATAAAAATAAAAAAATGTGGGCACTTTACCTTAAATTACACCATTTATCAACTTTCATTTAAATTGCTTTTTGAGTTCAACTTTGAGTTCTGAGACCATTATGCTAATGTTTTCTGTGAATGAATCAATCTAATAGCTACGATTAAACCCAGCACCTTTCCTGCCATGTTCACCGCGCAATGTTATTCCCCTTCAAACAACAATTACTGAATTATGCACACAAAATAAGTGTGCTATAAGCTGCATTGTTTTTGTTTATTTGTTTTGTTTTTTGGCCAATTGGGGACCAGCAGAAAAAGCTGATAAGATCATCTGACATGTAATCAAAGAATTAAGTTGGGGTGAGCAGACGTCCCCGTTTTCCGGGTGGCCTGTCCCCGTCTGGAGCTGTCCCCGGAAATGCCCCCATTTTTAATCATAGATTGTATAAGGTGTTAACAGACCTGAAATCAGATTTAACGTGGCCAAAAAGACTGGACAGCAGAGCATACAGGTGTCGTGCTAAAAAGTGATAGTCCGCAGAAAACTGATTCTCGTCCGCGGGAGCACGCCCAGCATGTTTAAGCTGTATCGCCCAGTCTCTTTATGTCTGCAGCTGATTTTATCTGGATCAAACAGACACAACGTGCAAATAAACATCACTTTATGTCCGTGGTATAGCAAAGGTATGTCTTTGTGATACTTCTATTATATATATTTCTTTTAACAGAATAATCGCAGTTGTGGCCAAAGAAGCGTTTGCAGTTTATAGCGTAACCAGGCATGACATTTACGTGAGGCAATAATAGAAATCTGTTGTTGCAGATGGATTATGTGTTTGGCAGGCCTATGTCTAATATCCTTGTTTATATTTGGAATACGAAAAGAAGACTATAATTAACATGACTTACTGCTTAGTTATATATAAAATAAAGACAAGATCTCTTTTGCAATAATCCTTATGACTCTACATTATTTAACTTGCTGTGTACCAACCAATCCAGACCTTTTTACCTGTTAAAATACCTTTAAATGGCCAATACAACCCATGTAATGCAGTATTCCACTTATTAACAGAAAGGTAGATTATGCCTCAAAATTACTTTATTTCATTCAGAAGAGTAATATTTGACAGATTATAAAACGAAAATTGTTCCCCCTTTTTTATTTCATGTTTAATAACATGATATTTTTTAATGACATACTGACCACCAAACCAAAAATGTCCCCGGTTTTCATTTAAAATATTTGGTCACCTTAAATTAAGTGGTATTTGTTAATGTTATATTTTATATTGATATTTCTCTACTGGCACCTGGTCATTTTAATGGTGAGCCACACTGTTACTAGCAACCCTAACACCTGTTTAACAAGCTAGTGGTTAGCATGCTAAGCTGTTTATTCTGTTCCATTTTTTAATGTAATTTCAAATTTCTTGAGGTGCAAGTATTAAAATAAATGTTTTAAACACCAAACAACCTTTATTTTGCAAACTTCATGTTCCAAGTATTTTTTAGGAATATAAAAGAGCTATATTCACCTTCAAAATGTAATGGGGCTAACACTTGTGTAGTTAACAAAAGATCCTCTGAGAGAGTTATTGTCCAACGAAAAGGTTTGGGAAGAACTAACACTTGTTCATGTTAAATTAAACTCCAAAAAGAGTCAAACATAGTTAAATTAACAGTCTGTGGTGTGGAGCCATAGAGACACTTAAAAGTGTTAAAATCAACTCTGACAGTGTTCATTTGGGTCTGCTAATCTCACTGTGTAGAGTTGTTGTATTAGAGCTTTTTCACACATTTGCCTGCCACTGCTGAAAATGCAGTTGATAAGAATATAATTTGCAGGTCTTAAAATCAAGACAACAAGCTAAGAAAGCTAAAAACTCTGTAGGGCTGAGTAGGGTGATGAGTCTATTTATAATTTTCTCATTACACATTGTGTATCTTTAAGCTAATCCACTAGTGCTTAGTCATTATCTCAGTGAGCCCCGCCCCCACCCTCCATAATTTCTTGTCTACAACCTGCACACTTTTTCAACAATGAAGGAATGTCCAAGCTAATTTGGAAATCATAGCTCAGAAATTATAGTTGTCAGTCTCTGCAACAGAGAGGTAGAGAGGAAAAAAGGCTTATTCTGAATCTACCATAAGCAGGCCATCGTAATTATCGCCTAACCCTGGCACAGTCTCACACTCTAACTCTTTCGTCAGCACCTGATCACTACATAAATACCTGACTGAGGCTGGGGCAGCGGCAGAGTGTGGAATAAAACTGTTACTATGCATTATGCATTCCCGTACTGCTTTCCATTGAAAGTGTTGATCACGTTGATGTCTCTGAAAACTGAAAAAATGCAAAATATGAACAATAGATAAGGCTGAGGAATACACACCAGCTCAAAATCACGGTACACAGAGAGCAGTTCGATCCATATGTTGTGATTTAGCACGTCATTAATCTCTCACTCTCATGGGGATCTGCTCACTTGCTAGCCCTCGGATAAGGCATGAGGAAAAAATGGTATATCCTCGGTAGGGGCTCCCACGGGCCTCCAAATCTGTGCATACTCAAACAAATCCTCATCTATCTATCTGTCTTGAACTTTCTATTGTATTGTCTCTTACTCATCTGTTGTCCCTTTGTCTCCGCTTTTCTTTCTCCCACTCCACTGCTCTGTCCCTCTCACTCTGCGTTATCTCTCTCAGCTCCCCAGTCACCATCAGTCTCTCTCTTCTGCAGCTCATGATGCATTGTGAGAAAATCAAAAGCCATGCCTTCCAACAAGAGATGTTGAAATTCCAAGGAGAAAACTGCAGATAAGGCTTGCAGATGTGGTTTTCTAAAATAATTGCAGCTGGTGCTGTAAACACTATAGAGCAAGTGTTTACAGCCTCAACACACCGTGCAAATGTGTCATCCATATGGATTTGAAATGTAAAGTTGTACATACAGTATGATGTCAGCATTTTGTGCTAACCAGCTTGATTGCATTTGTAAATAACACTATATTTTACATTTGAGAGGTCATGTTTCTGCTTTGTTTTTTTCTGACCTGGACCACTATGTGACACATAGGATTTAATGATGACTAACAGCAAGGGATTTTCACTTTTGCTTTTACCTTTGCTAAAAGATGGCAGCATTTACCCTTTAACCCCCTTTTTTTGGACTGATGACTCACATGGCAATATACGAGAGCTGCTCCTTGGTGAGGTTGAGGGGGTGATTGGACACAGAGATGCCGTACTGGCGGGGTTCCTGTCCTGCCGGCAGATTTCCCCTCAGGATGGCGTTGTTGGCCACACTGATGAAGGACACCATGCCGTGCCAGGCCTGGTTGTAGAACCACACCTGCCGGGTCAGAGACAGGCATTAGCACCAGGTAGCAGTGTAGCAGCATGTAGAGGCTTTGCAGTTGCTATAAATGTCTCCTAGCAACTACATCCGCCACGGTTGATACATTTGGTCGTTGACAAATAATAGAAAAAGATTTAACATGCAGGTTATAAAAGGAGAAATATTTCAAACAGATATAGTGTGCACCGGTTGCTGATGAAATACTTTTATTCTGAAATTAATAACTTTAGCAAACTTTAAACTTTAGCAAGACTTTTGTACTTGCCCTGTCCCGTCACACTTTTCGCACTGCATGTTTCATCCCAGTTTACTAAAGGATATTACTGTCTTTATTTTAGCTTTGTTAACAAGCTAACCACCCAGAAAAGTAGCAAAGAAAGGTACAAAACATAATCTGTGTGCTAGCTGTTCCGCAACAGCTGATATGTCACATTTAGCTGTTGTGAATATATCGAATGTTTATTTTTGTGTGTGTTTATATCTGCATGTGTTTACATATATTGTGTCTAGAATACAGTAAGAAAGAACAATTGATTTTTGTCCACTCACTGCACAAAAGGCACTCCGAGGAGAAGGGTCAAATAATCTCTCAAAGATTTTTCGGGGCTACATACTGTCCTATAAGAATAAGCAATAGAGCTGACAAACATTACTTTTTCATTTAATAAAAGATAAAGGCCTGCATTGACTGCATGCTAGCTGCAGATACAGAGTAAAAAAAACATTCTTTCCCACTTTCTTTTAAATGTAAGTGATTGCCTGAGTCTGTGACTGCTGGGGTGTAGAAGAAAAATAATGGATGAAAGAGAGTGGGAGAGGACTCCCGCTGATAGTGCAGCGCTAATTAAGAGTGGATGGTGTTTGAGTGTCAGTCCAACACAACACAGCGTCACAGAGGAGGATATGGAGAAATGTGAGCACACACTCACACACAGATGTGGGTGTACACACATGCTCTTGTCTCTTTTTGTCTGTTTGTGGCTCTCTTCCTCTTCTCTGTTCTCGCTCAGGCACACAGAATAATTGATATTACTTTCACTATTATATTTCCTTCATCCTGTAGATTCTGAAAGTTCGGCAGCTTAAATATCATTTGATGTTGTCAAGATAACAGATAACAAAAAGTACAAGCTTGTCTGCTAAACACATGAGGGTGATTCAGAGGGAGTGGAGAATATGAGAGTATGTATGAAGACAAGTCACATTTGCATTTCCACTTCTGAAACTTTAAACACAAGCTTGTTTTGAGGAGCAAATCTCTAGAGTGAGATATTTGCATGAGATATTAACTTCAATATTAAATACAAATGTGGTCCTGTGGTGGAAACTAAGTAGAATTTCACAAGTACTGTACTTAACTTGCACTGTGTCACCTTTACTTTTTACTCCGCTACGTTAATTCCACAGCTATCGTTACTAGTTTCCAGATTAGGATTTTACATAAAGCAATCATGTAATAAGTTTATAAAACAAAATCCACGCGCTGTTTGCATCTAGCTGGGGCCCTTGGGTCACATTTTAGGATTCTGAGTTGTTTGCAGTTTTACCAAAGAGACCTTTCTCTTAACTTGTCACACGGTTTCATTTGAATAACTGCTTGAGGCATAAAGAGGTAAAATGATCCAAAAAAAGAAAGAAGTACATGAAATTGTAAAAATAAAAGATTTGTGTAGAACTTTTCCCTTCCGATTTATCTTGCGATCCCTTCGGTTGGGAACCAGTGGTGTAAACTATCCATATAACTACTTTATATACTACTGTATATATAAAGTAGTTGAAACTAGCTCCATCAGAACCAGCTACAACAGTAAAAATGCTACTCACAAACTTTTGCTGATAGTACTGTACTTTTACTCACCCCATTAAGACCGGATGCAACATTTGCGTGGATATATAGAAATATGAATACAGGATTTGCAAACCTCCTTGCAGTGCAGTACTTTTAGATTCTTGTATTGGTACTTCCACTTAACTAAAATATGCGAGTAGTTCTTCCAACACTGATGTAGTTAACTTAAACTATATACTTACCTTTGAGACTGCATTTTAATTAATTATACAATGAAATACGTGAATGCACATTACCTTTATTTATTGCTGTTAGGCTTGAACTTATTGTATTTAATACAAAAATGGCTTTTAATGATTCCATTGCTCTCCCTTTTGCACTCTCTGCAATCAGTAAGGACATACCGTAGTAATTACATTATTGACTTCCATCCATCGTGCCATACCCTAGCTTTATTACAATCTACCCATAACCCAAAAAATCCAAACTGTCCCCGCCTTATTTCACCAGTTTAATGATAACTGTCATCTCATTGAATCAAACAGGAAAGCAAAGGGAAACAAGGCAATTAATGTAATACCTTCACGTTGTCCCTGGTTCCCAGCTTCTTCAGCAGCGTCTTAGCCTTCTGGAAGATCTGATCAGTCACATTATCCTAATGAAGATGAGGAAAACAAGAAAAAAAAAAAAAAATACTGAGTTGGAGACTTAATTGGATACACTTGGAACACCACTACTGCTCTTTGAAATGCAAATCATGAGACAGAGGGAGACAAGAATTAAGACTTCCGGAGAGCATTTGGGTGTGCTGAGCCACTTACAGACTTGTAATGTGCCCTCTGTTATTTTGGCTACTTGCGAGTTTGTTCCTCTTCTGACATTTCTGTTTTATTAAATAGTGTGAAATAATTAAAATCATGAGAAGATGAACATGAAAGGAAGATGCACAAGTGGCAGAAATTGCCTCATTTCCTAATGTACCAATCAGATGTAAGTAGTATGACTGGTGTGCAAAGTGTTTCATAAACAGATTGAAATGAAAATAACAGCAAAAAAAGAAGAGTATAAGGCGTCTGCTGGGTTTTGTTGTGAGGTGGGAGATGAAAATGTCGGAGGGTAGACTGGACAGGTTGCATTAAAAATCCGCTCTACTCCACTCATGTCTCATGTGAAATGAGCCTTGGGATGAGGGCTTGAGATGACAGGCATGCATTTCCAAAGTGTCATGTCGATACTGTGGTGTTCAGCCCAGCACTGAGCACATTACATGTGTGATATAAATGCAAATGGACCTCCTGTTGGACCTGTCTTCATCATAGGACTACAGCAGAGGAGAGAAAGGGGGAATGGGGATGTGGCGTGGAGTGAGGGGAGGTCGGTGGAGGAAAAGTGCAGGTGACAACTGGGGAGAGAGGTGGGGGGTAGAAAAAATAAGAAGAGAAAAATCAAGAAAGACATCCCAAGAATGCAAGTGCGTACTCAATTGCAAGTGCTTGTTGGCTCTGAAAAAGGGAGTGTGGAAAGAAATAGACAGAAATCTCAAGCCCCCCCACACAGTTACCTAAGGACAAGGGACTGAGGATCCTTCTTACTTTTTCTATCCCACAATCCTTCACTCAGCCAATCCTACACCACATTGTGAGAAATTTGGAAACATTTCAAGAATGTATTCAGAGCATTCCCTTTTTTTTTGCTGTGCCATATATCAGGTCTGCTCCTTTGGCATAACAATATGTTTACGCATCATTTCAATAACGCAGCATGCACTCTTGATCTCTTTTCATATCACAGTGTGAAAGAAAAAAAAACGCCCCCATCTATGCTGACAGGAGTGTTTGTGTTAAATAACATCCCCTCAGTTCCAAGTCATTACCTATTCATACACCGGGCAGAGAACAGGACTCCTACTCTTGTCCGTAATGCTTCCTCCAGCAAAAGCAGGGAAATCTTTATGGTATTATGTGTTTTTACTTCACTCCGGTTTGCATCATGCCAAGCAGCAACGGGCAGCGCCAATGGGCGGCCATCCTGAGGATTAGCGGTGGCTGAAACGAGATGAGAAGTGGGCCAGCAGCTGCCTGGGTCTAATCCTTGACAAACTCCTCCCTGCTCAAGGACAATGACAAGGCTGGTTTGGCCAGTGGACCTGCCAGTGTCATGGCTAACGACACAGCAATAAAGCCACTCGAGTGTGTGGGGACTTTTTTTGGCGAGTATTCCAAAGTGGCCTGCACAGTTCAGTGGTCAAATGGCCTGTGTGACAGTGTGGTCACTTGGTATGTGGGACAGTGTGTTAATATGTGTGTGTGTGTGTGTGTGTGTGTGTGTGTGAGAGAGAGAGTATATTGAGAACTTGGTTCATGGTTTGTTAAATCAAGGGCTTATTTCTCTGAATCATATAAATTATCAAACAAATGTTGTTTGAGAAGGTTTAATAAACATTTCAGGGAAATATAGACACATTAAAACCATTTACGTAAGACGCTATGCCATCTGAGATGCATTTTCTGACTTAAACAATTTCCAGCACGTATGCTTTCTTGTTCTCATCGTTCCCGTCATTTCTTGCAACACCGAACCCTATTTCTACCTGCTAGACAAAAAGAAATGCAATTAAACAGAAATTTCAAAGCCCACTTCCCAGTCTGCGCAGGTGGCTCTGAGTGCAAAAACAAGCTACTTCCCGTTAACGTCTCACATCACAATGCCTGCCGAGCAGCAGAGACCCAGACATTTCCCAAGGACAGTGTAGCACTTTAATAACAAGGAATGCAGAGCTGGGACGGCTAATGCCCGGCCATTAGGGTTACATCACCGCCGCTGCACGAATTAAAGTCACATTAGCGTCGAGATCCCGGAGACAGAGGAGGGAGCCTGGGAAGAGATGAGACCGGAGACGCCGGAGGGCGAAGCAATGTGCTGATCTCAAAGCAGTTTGAACATCCAAAGTTTGAAATGTTAATGAGAGACTGTGTGCAGAGAGGCTGAGAGAGAGATGCAAGGAGGGGACAAGTGAGTTGGTATAAAGTTCAGGAAACACTGCTAGAGTAAAAGTGTATGCAATGTTTCCACATGAATTGGATTGCGCTAGATGAAGTAGATTACGTTAAATACATTCGAAAGTGAAAAGGTTTGCACGGTTTTGTGTGAATGCATGTTCCTGTGCAGTGAAGGCCTAGATTCCTCGATATATTCATAGCAATGCACAGACAATCACAGCTTGTTGCCAAGGACACTCAACAAAGTGGATTTAAAGAATCTAAACCTCCTCATCTTTGCTTTCATTCTTCTCTCTCAATCAGACAAGAATTCCACGGGGTCCAAAGGTCCCCGATAAATAACATCTTCTGTACCCAAGGTACAAAGCTAACAAAGAACAAAGAATGCCATGCTCCAATTAGAAGCCGCTTACTCAAAAGACGACTGGCAAACCACTGCCTTGACAGGAGAAAAGCGGATTCTGAACCACTTCTTCAGTCACAAGTCTCGTCTAAACATTGTTGAAGGAGTTACAAAACAACAGGTACAACGGCTCCAAGTTTGATTCCTATATTTATGTAGGTTAATGTGTGTCAAAGCAGCGCCAGGTAGAACAAGAAGTTCAGTGCAAACATACTGTAACATCACAAAACAATATCTGGATGGAGCCATACAGACACATCCAACAACAATTTGCAGTACATTAAAAAATACTAAGATTCTACAGCCACACCTCTGTGGGGCTGTACTTAGACACGGTGTTGCGTTAGGCTAAATGCTAACACATCTTAGTTCAATAAGTTAGCATGCTGGCTCACCAAAGTAATTAGGATTCCTCCTCACAGGCCCATTGTGTAAAATGTCATGGCGATCCACCCAACACGTGTTGAGATATATCAGTTTGGACCAAAGTAGGGCCCGACCTACAGACTGACCGACAGACTGACATCCCTAGTGCCACTGGCATGACTGAAAAACTAAAATTAAAATTTTAAAACCTCATACTGTAAAAGTTGTATTTTCTTGGTTGAGAGATGACATTTTGCTAAAATGTGGATGTTTTGATATATCAAACTCAAAAACTTCTGTCAGCGGCTTCAGATAATAGGACCCATTTGACAATATTTAACAAAGCTCAGACTTAAGGATCAACACGGGCATCACAAAGACTTCAGGGGTCTTTGGAGTTGCCTCTGGTCCATTCAAATAATCATGTGGTATCAACAGGTTTGACTCTGTGAATGCCAATATTTATTACGAACCTGAAATGAACTGAACAGGTCTTTAAGATCACTGAATGCAACTTCAATTGCTCCCTCAGTCAGAAGGACTTGTGAGTTGACCGCTCCGACAGAGATCCCTCCGTACCTGAAGTGGCAGAAAAAAACATAAAGAGAGGAAGGTTCAAGTGGAAGTTAGAGCATATGAGTAATGCCAAGGATACACACGCATTTTTACACTTTCTACGCATAGCCACACACAAGATACAGATAAACAGTAAAAGCAGATATTACTGTGGAAATACAGACATGAACAATATGTTCTATAAAAATGACCAAACATTCATAGGGTTGAACAAACACATCAACCTAATGTTTATAATTAATCATATCTCTCACTGAGAGTTTTCTCTGAATGTTTTCATACAGTAAAATGACAGGTTAAGAGAAGCATATCAAAGGGTAGCCCAGCAGGATTTGTCAAATGATGACAACTGCATAACATGTAGGGATGGAAATGGAAGCACAGCATGTAGGGTTTTGTCCTTTCATTCATTTTACACTCAGCTGACCTTCTGAAAGTGGATGCACCAACACCACAACAGCAGCCCAGGTAGTAATTTGGCTCTCTTTGTGTCAAAACAAAAAGCGCCTGAGGAAAGTCACTAGTCTCTGAAGTGCTACCAGATACGTGAATGCACTTTGATACCCGGATTCAAAAAGCACTTAAATGCTGCAGCATATGGAAAAAAAAATCCACTGGATTGGATGTTGATCTTGACAACATTCACGCTGACGTGTTACCTTGTTTTACCGTAGTGTTCAAAAGTCTTGACCAAGAAGTCCGTCATGTTCCTTCCAGTTAAATCCAACAGTGTGTCTGTTGTGTTCTGGATCCTCTGTTAAAAACAGAAAAACCTCAAAATGTTAGGACCCATTAAGAAAATACACATTATTGGCTTGCCATTTGTTATCTGTGTTTTTGTGACCTTGATCTTAAACCTGAATAATTGTGGGAGGTTTTTGGGCATAATACTGACAACTTATTGCCTTACAAATTTATCACGGTGAACAAGTTAGCAACCAGTTGCCTATTTTCATATTAAACAGTCAAGTCATACAATGTTACCACATAAATATTGCTTAGAGCAGCTTTAAGTTTAACCAGCAGAAAACCTTTTCAAAACACTTTTCTAGTTTCTGAAAATGCAAGGTACATACATACATCCATGAGGTGCAGTGCCTTTTCTCATACTGTTCTGGAAGGATTCAAAACCTTTGCAAATAGCACTTAAATGTGCCTCTGTGTAACATCATGAGCAGGAAGGCTGACCACAGCTGGCGCAAGTGTTCAGCCACCCATAAAAAGTAATCAAGTTGATGCAAAATCAACAAAACTTAAGCACAAGTACATTTTGCAGGTGATATCTGTTCACAGCACCGTGGAACACATTCTCTCAACCGAAATCATAATAGTCAATTAAGCCTAGCTATGGGAAGCCCGGCTAAAATCTAGACCCCCGCCACAGCTGCAAAAGCTGTGTCTAATGTCAAAGGACCCTAATTAGGTGCCCTTCTGTGGATAAATGGGTACGTTCAAACATCCAATTAAAGGAGGGTGCGACAAACCGCTATGAATACACTCCGTGATATGTAGACTGATACTTCCCAGTATACACACACACTCACGCCGACATCAGGCTGTGTTAGCACTGCTTATTTAGAGAGGTACCACTATAATAATTAGCAGAGTGATCCTTGATAAAGTGCAACTGAGACCCCCGAACTGCAAAACAATTTACCAATGTACCGCCTAGTTGGTTACCTAAATTTCGGTACTCACAGCTTGATGTGCAAGCTTTGGGTACACATGGTGTGATGGTTGATCGGTTGCCTATGTGTGTCAGTTACCTTGTGTGTCTTCATCACTTATAACATACAGTAGATGTTTATGAAGGAGTAGGTATCAGTTGGAAGGACCTTTCATTCCTGGGTCCAAAACTCCCTTCAGAGATAAAACTCTCTCTGTTTGGGTTTTTTACGGTGCATGGCGGTGTCATTCACGGGGTACAGAAGTAGCAGTAAAGTGAAGAGGAGATGAGAATAAGTTGAGGGAAAACAAGATGGAGGAGAAGAATACACAGTCGCTTAGAGAAGTCACTAAAAACAAATAAGAGAAGAAAGCAGAGCAGTAGTGGATAGAGAATAGAAACATAAGTTAAAAGAGCAGAGGAGGAAAGAGAAGAAGAGGAGGAGGAGAACTCAAATCATAAGGCAAAGAACAAACAGAAGGAGAAAACAGGGGAAGAAGAGGACCCATCTGGCTTATGAATCAGAGATAAGGAGGACGAACGGCACAGCAACCTCAGCTTATCTCTGAACAAACATGCTTCTCTTTCAAAAAGCCACAGGAACTCGGAAACAAACAAAACCAAAAATAAGAGCTTTTACGCTCCACCGTGTATACCCAAGCACACTGTCAGTGTGGGTCTAATTATTTTGGCCTTGGTCCACATCCCCCATCAAAAAGACGGAAATGGGAACATTACGTGATTGTGCAATACCTGGGCCTGCATCTCTTGTTCATTACCTGGGAACAGCTTTGGTGTGCATGGCTTTCTGTACATAACATCAGTTCACCAACACACAGTGGCGGCTTGATAGCTGGGGAAGCAAACACGGGTGAGGGAAATGTAAACTAAGGAGTAATCAAATCTGTTGAATGAGCTGGCATACTCCAGCACTGGCGAGATAAGAGACTGTGCTGTGTTCATATTAATCTTGGCACTGTTTATATGGAGCTGTACCTCTAAGGTGAAATTCTAATTTCATCTAGTGTGCACAAAGAAAAGCAATCTCGGGAAACCTGGATGTTTTTATAATTAAACATGTTAAAGGTGTACCGTCACTTGTCCTCTGACTTGTTTTGCATGTGCTGATCAGGTTAATTGTGTTTTCATGCAAAACAATATGTTGTTATGTTTGTACGTGCAAAGTTGTTTTTCAATCATTAAACTCATTATAACACGATGAGTTGGTAGTGGAAGTGGCAGGTGGCCTATTGTGTAATTGCGTGTCGTCGCGTGTATTTCAGGAGCTGCTTTCATTGAGGTGTGTGATTATGTCCGGTATGGTCACAGGCCAGCAGTCATTTTAAAATGAGCCAAAGAATACCACCAAGCACTCTGGGTTGGGTTCTAAACGTGCATTTACTAACCCACAACAAAAAGCTGCCCCGGCTATTCTGTCCCACTTCACGAGAGATTGAGTTCCCCACATCTACGCGCTGTGACAGATTTTCATCTGGACCCCTTCTGTTCTGTTTAGCCACAACAAAGGGAAACCACTGCCTCATCCAGCCTTTGCCTCACCTCGCAATTCAATGACCATTCTGCTTTTGTCTCCGAGCATCTCTTGCGTTCTGCTGAGAGGGTGGCTCTGGACAGGTCGTTTTACACTAAAATGGATGTGCCGGTGTTGGGAGTCAAAATGACAAATCAACAGGGCCCAGCAGAGAAAGGATATGTCAGCCTGGTGTGTACGCCACAACAGCGAGTATGGACTGGCGGGGTTTGGAGCTGATCTGCTTTTAGTTGGATTTGTTCTTTGCCAACAGCTGGTGTTGGAGAAAAGTTCACAGATTCATAATGGTTTCATTTGACATGAACACAAGGTAACATAAGATAGCAATAATATGTCAGTCCTGTTGATTTTATCTTCTGAATTTAAACTTATATTCTTTTCTAAACAAATAATCTTCCTGAAAGACTTACTTACTGATTATGCAATTTCTCAAAACAACAAACTAAACTAGATAACTGTAGTTGTATTTCTCATCCAGAACTCTTCCCCCCTACACACACAAATTGTAAACCAATGACCAACTTCAATACCCTGATAGATGAGGCCAAGTAAAGTAATTTGCAAGCTGCAGTTAGGCCAGTCTCCAAATGATAAAGACATCAATCGTAATTTGGTGAACGAGGCGGCTTTAACAATTCCTCTGCACGCATGACGTCCTATTCATCTATGAAGGTTAAATATCACCAGTGAATGAGAGTCAATACCTCAGAATTGATAATGGTCTTACTGTTGCCTGCCATTTCCATGGAAACAATGATTTCACACTACCTCCTGTAGTGATGTGTCCCATGTTTTTTTCTCTCTCGTCTTTTCTGTAGTTTCTCAAGGGCATATTCAGAGGATGGGCAGAATAAAAGATAAAAAAGAAAATCTAGTGTGAAGCTGGTACACTTTGTCATGATTTATTCAACAGGGGAAGCTTTCAGGTCAAAGGGAATACATCCTCACAATGTGCTCTGCCTCTGTGGGTGGTCTCTGCCTTGGACTTTCATTAATTTATGGCCCCCTGTGATGGACCACAGTCTACAGGTAAGCAATGCAGCATGTGTGTGCATACATTCCCTTGCATATAAACATACATACTGCTAAGTGCACGTGTGTGTTTAACAGCATGTCATATTCATGTGTTCGCATCTGTCATACTATTTATTCAGACTCTATCCATCCATCCATCCATCCATCGTCAACCGCTTATGCTGTGTACAGGGTCGCGGGGTATTCAGACTCCGTGCTGTTTAAATGGGCATGCTAACCATGCTATCTATACTTTTATTATATATATATATGGATATACATTATATTGATTGCTGGTAGCAGCACGGAGGCAAAGAAGTTTGAAGGGTTATAGTTACATACTTTCTTTCACTGTCATGTTGATGTTTTTTCAGCATTTCTGCTTTAGTCACAGTAGAGACAGGAAAGACTGGGGGAGAGAGAGAGAGAGAGAGAGAGAGAGAGAGAGAGACGGGGGCAGCAAAGGACCCAGGCCAGAAATGTGGTAAGGTGAGCTACCGGGGCACCCCAATCACTTTCATTTATAAAGAAACTAGACTAGTAGCAGGGTGATGGAGCAGTGGATAAGATGCATAGCTTCGGTGTGGGAGACCCAGGTTCAACTCCCCACTGTGACCCACCAATGTGTTCCTGAGCAAGACACTTAGCCCCTAGTTGCCAGAGGCGTGCGACCGTAAATAGCAATTGTAAGTCGCGTAAATGTAGTACACTGGTGAAGAAGGGTCTTTTCACTAAGACTTTAAAAAAAGGACGAGGAACAACCATTTCACCTCGAATGCACACATTATCACAGTGGTATAAATCTTTCAAGACTTCAGATGGTGAAATAAACTATGTGTTACAAAAAATATACTGTGTCAAAAACTGACCAATGCCAATTAAATAAAGTGTTGAATTATGCATAACAGAGAATTGTGACTTTTAACAGCATGTGTACGCCTCACTTGTCTTCTGCTATATTATCCTCTTGCAGGGGCTATTTATCCTAAATTGAAAGTTCCTTTAACCACAACAGGAGATAACTGGCCATTATCTTGTTGCATGATAATAACTCAATGTTCTCAAGGTTGTTTCTACGTACAAATGAGAGTCCACTTGATATAATTTTACAGGATGTGGATTGGAACAAAATAAGATGTTGTAAATAAGGAGAAATGATGCAAGTAAATGTAACAAGATGTCTGCAAGAATTGGCCTTTGTAAATGGTCTTTTTACTGAGGCTAAGTGTACTAAAAGTACCAGCCACTTACAGCATAACACATTAAAGTAGAAATCCAGTAAAGTAGCAAAGTAGCAGGCAATTCATAAAATAACAGAACAAGATTCAGGCCGAGAAGTACCTATAATGAAAACAAGAGCGAGGCTGTTTTAAATGGAAGAAGCAGGTGGAGAAAAAGAACAACATAAAAAAGAACGTCAGAAAGAAAGACCTTGATGACCTAGTGGGGTACTGGAAAGATACAAAGATACAAGAAGCGCCTCAACAAATCGGTGACTCTTTGACAGAGCTGTCATAAGACCGAACGTCTGTGAAAGGAAAAGGTTGCAGAAAGGGCACTTCTCTTGTTTGACTGTCTCAACAATCATCCTACAACATGATACCTGGACAGTTGCTCCTTTAATGTGGCAATGGATGGCCTTGTCACTTGAAGGAGCATACAGCAAGACTCACACAAGTTCAACGAGGCATTACACAGCTGTGTAGGGTGTGAAATGGCACATTACATAGCATGCAATGTTATATAGGGGAGGTATAGAGAAAGAGAAATGAAAGAGTGGCAGACGAGTGCTGCAGTTTCAAACTGTGTTACTGCATGACCTGCTGGTTGGAAATCATTGACTTTGTAGAGTCTTTCTTTTATTTGGCAGTCTCATTTGTCCTTACGTATGTCAAACGCTAAAGAAGGGAAATGCCATGGCAATTACAAGACAAAATCATTTTAGATATATCTGTATGTGACTGTGTGAGTATTTTCTTAACTGGGCCAGAATATCTCTTTTTAACAGTCACTCACTTCCCTTAACAACTGCTGTTGAAAGAACTTCATAACCGCTTGGCAAATTGAACCGACTGTTTAAACTTATATCATAGACATATAAGACACTTTTAAAAACTTGTAAGGCATTTTTAACCACAGTGAAGCATAAATTTAAATCTGTGTATTGTGTAATTTGATTCTCCGCTATGCATGCCATTCATATTTTATTGCTATTTGGCACATTTTCCATAAAAAGAACCCAAGTAAAAAGGTTTAAGAAGTTAGGAATCAGTGAGCTGACATTCATTTTCACCCATGTTATAAAACACAACCAACGTGTCTGTGCCATCATGCACTATTTACACAGAAAATACACAGGATTTGCTGCCACACTCTCTCACTTCTGCAATCCAGTTATACAAAGGCTATCCACCAGCCCACAGTCCAGTTTGTGTGAGTTATCGCCGGTTCGAATCCAGCACGGACCGTTGCCAAAGGTGCCCTTAAGCAAGGCCCTGAACCCTTAACTGCTCCCTGAAAGAAAGCTATCCGACCTGCACAATGAAAAGAGAAGCGTACCACCAATCAGCAGAGACTGCTAGTTTCTATGTAAAACAAAGCAAAATGTGCACAAACTGTGAGTTAGCTACTGTATGAATGCAATGCTGTTTCGCAGCCTAATCTCAGGTATCAGACATCAGAACTCCGCTCCTGGCCTCTAAACTACAACAAACAATTTGTCAACCATTCTAAGACTCCAAGAGGAAATAAAATATTGACAGATTTAGCTGGGGTTAGTAATGAGACATTCAAATTCAAGCCTCTTAAAATGCAAGCATAAAGCCTGAGTAAACAGACAAAGCCATCTCTAATAAAATAACACAGGAGTGGCGGTGGCAGCTTTTCCATCGAGTCTCTGTCACTCTCTCAAGCTTAGATTTTTAAAACTGTTTAGCCCCAAATGAGGTACTACTTTTCTTTCATCTATAGTGATGGCTTCAGTCAGCAGGTGGTGGCTGGTAGGCAGAGATGTGGAGTCTCTAACTTGCCCATCGATCCAGGCCTGGATCAAGCCTCTTTAGGTCACGCCGTGCAAAATTTCCCCTAGCTGCATGTGGCCATGTGTATTGTTAAAGTAATGGTCTATAAAGGATTGGTATTGACTTCTGGAAGGTGAGACATGCAAACCTCCCGGGACTCATTGTGTGAGCAGAAAAATGAGAGGTCATTTGCAAAGTCTCTGCTGGCAGTGCATGCAAAAAAAATGTCCTAAAAGGTGCTACAAGGTGAAAGGTTGGCATGGACCTGAAAGAGTAGGTATGGGGAACAAGCTAAATTACTGGCAATGGCCAATTCAGGTATTTTCAGTGGAATCAATTTTGGCTCTACTTTCATGCATGCACGCCAGTTCACAAAAGGCAAGGCTGATTTACATTTTGCAATGCAATGCAAATTCCTTGTTAGTAAGTACCTTTACATTTCCAAATCAAAATGATGCTGACTGGGACTTTCAAACTGCAACCCAAAAGCTCCTATGAGAAGCATTTTTTATTGTGCTGTTGTGTCACTGATTTATTTTTTATTTCTTAGATTTATCATTTCATTCTACTCTCTTGCTGCAGTATATCCCACTGTGACAGACACACAGTAAGTGTACGCATTTTAGAAGTACCCCATACCCAGTACCACTGGTTTTGGCAGGGTGTTATGGTCTTGCTCAAGGGACCTCGGACAGAGACCGACACAGTGGCTGCATCAAATCTATGACCTTAAAGTCACATAGTGGTGGCCCTGACTACCATGCCACCCTCCTACCAAAAGGCACGAGCTAAGCGACTAACCTGAGGCGGAGGGAGTCCTCCTGCACCGAGTGGACAGTCAGGTAACATTATTGTCCGTTGCGGAGTGCTGCACTGACAGGAGGGGGAGGGGTTAGACATGCTCCAGTTCCCGTTGAGGAAGATGTCAGTGACGGACTGATCCACGGATGGAGTGAACCAATCAGAGCCACTAGAAGAACACGGCAACTTCCTAAGAGAAAACAATAGAGGAAATCCACATTTTTAATTGGTAATAATGACTCCCGCCAACCACATCTGCTGAAAAACATATGCACAACATGCTCTCTAATCTTAGCCATAACTGTATTGGTTGTCTAGCATGGTTAAGAAAAACACTTTTGATAAGTTACGAAACCAGTAAAGCTTGATAAGTATAATACAATGAGCGTGGAAGGAGGATCAGAATAATGTGACTGACTATGGTTTGATATCGGAAGGGTTATTTTGTACCCACTTAGAATGAACAATGTGAGCCCCGCTTAATATATATTTTAAAGACTACTGGATGATACCTCTGATTTAAAATAAAATGTGGTCTGTGTTTGAAGACCTTGAAGCACAGTAAGTCGCTCATGGCCTTTGCGCTGCACAAGCACTGGTGAACCATGTGGCCTCCAAGCTCAGAAATAGTAATAGTAATTACTGTACTGTAAAGAGGTGTACATTATTCAACTTAAACGGACTAGGATGATCATTTGCTTTTCAAAACCATTTCCAATGCTCTGGGTTACATGGCTGCCTGACAGCTTGTTTTATTTCCGTTGCAAGATTTCTTGAAGGAGGCACATACATGCATGACTCCATGTTACTAGCCACACATTTACAGCTTGCAAAGCTTAACAGTTTAACCGTTTAGCACGACTGCACATGCACACACTAACGCTACTCTTCTGGCATCCCGTGTACTCAAGAAACACTTACGGTATTGGGTCTCCATTCATGCAGCGTGTCCCAAAGCCAGGCTTGTTCACCAAGGTTTCCACCACCTGAGACACCTCGGCATTATCTGGCCCGTCGTTGCTGTGAATATAATAAATACAGACACACATTCAAACATTTCAGTGTGCAATAAGATTACCAGTTGGACCCCTTACAGTAGGTCCACATGTCACTTAAGTTCGTGAGCGTCAGACCATCTGTCACAATGTCAATAAAACAGAGCAAAAAGCATTAATTTGGGTGTTGTGTTCTGACAAAAACTTAAAAGGAAAACGAATAAAAAGCTTGGACCAGGGCCCTTTTCGTAGAGACTTAGTATAAAACATGAAGTTGCCAACTAAAACTTAAAATGTGACACAGGCTTAAACAGTGACACTAGGCTGTAGCATTGATTGGTTCAAGGCAGCTTGGATTTAACACTAGAGGACAACCTGTAGCCTGATTTACAATAAAATCACCTCTGGACATTTAAAACAGATACTAATCAGAATCTTGGTGGTCATGACCAATAATCGGCTAAGAGCTACAGTTATTCCATTGGTTGATAGAGTCAAGAGACTCTCTAATTGAATCAGCTTACAGAATGACCTGTTGTAGGAAATATGATGATGGTAAAAAATTTAAATTGTCCACCCAGAACTGTGCCTCTGACTCCTAAAACAAGCTCTGTAGTATTCAGAGGAAAACCGGTAACTATTTCTATGAAGGTCATCGTTATAATGACTTATGCATATATTTATAACACGATATAATGAGTCCATAACACATTATAACAATTGCTATAATCACTTACAAACATGCATTAGGCACTATAGCAAAGTTCATAACGTATTATGACCTTTTGATTTAATGTTTTATAACTAATAGTAATACCAGTTTATATCAATGTGCGGCAAGAATCTCCGACCATGTTCCATAACACATAACCATCGACTTATGAATACACTTTAGTCACAATTTAGAATTAGTGATATAAAATGGAATATAGCTTATAGTAATGTTAATGTTATATAGCACGTCTTTGTTTAGTTAAAGTGTTAAAATATCTATCCCTGTATAATATATTACAGGTGGACATAATACCATATGAACTAAGTTAGACCTTATAACACGTAATTGTTTGCTTTAAAGTAAAGTGACACATTTTGCGCAGGAAAACAACTTTTATTTATGTTTCTTCACTTTATGAACAATCTGTATGGATTTTGAACATTTTGCAGTTTAGCACAAAAACACAACATAAATATAGCCGCAAGCGGCGATTCGCGGGTTCATGCCTCCCCCCCCCAATATCGCCATCAAAATAATTTCACACATACGGTTCAACATTGTTATAAAACATGTCCTGTAAGTTTTGTAACAACTGGACAACCATTTTCTGATCTATAGCTTGATTTGTATCATTCCACATCCACACATCTTTACACATTTTTTGGTCAATATCTTGAAAAGGAAAGGAGCTATCACCAAGCTTTACACAACTTTATATATGCTAAGGCCAATGATGATCCATAGAAAATTTGGTGGCAATTGGAGCTACGGTCTAGGAGGAGATGTAAAAAATGTGTTGCATTATGGCAAGCGGCCATAAAAATCCTGTTTTAATGTGTTATGTATCTGTATGTGTTCTTCAAATACGCTAGTTGACCTTTTCCTTAAAAAACAACTACAGCTTTTATTTGTAGGAGAGCACTGACTGAAAAGAATAAAACGTTTACTGGGAACAAGCCCACTCAGGATTACAGACATCAGGGAGCATTAATATTTTTCTTTCATATGAGACTATATAATAAATTAATTGAAATATACACTATGTATATACTAGTATTATTAACCATACTATTTCATTAAAATGGTTTGAAAATATAGATGCCAGTAAAACTACAATACAATACTCTCTCTTGCTACTATGTTTCTAACATGTCAACAAACAGCATGGCTCCACAAAACACAGAGAGAGAGAGAGACAGAGAGAGAGAGAGAGAGACAGAGACAGACAGAGAAACAGAGACAGAGAGAGAGCAAGAGAGACAGAGACAGAGAGAGACAGAGAGCGAGAGAGACAGAGACAGACAGAGAAACAGAGACAGAGAGCGAGAGAGACAGACAGAGAAACAGAGACAGAGAGCGAGAGAGACAGAGACAGACAGAGAAACAGAGACAGAGATACAGAGAGAGACAGAGATCGTTTATACTCCTGGCTCCTTACCTTTCATCCAGCGCAGCCAGCCGCCATATTGGCGTAATAATCGCGGATAATAAAGCAGCATGAAAGCGGCTACATGACAACAAGCGCAATTCATAGCCTGGTATCAACCGATCCAGCACAACAGTTTGTCCCATACACGGAGCAGCAGCACACAGTCACGTTGATTAACGATGCTTCACTCACCAAAGCAGGCTCACTTCAGCAGAGAGGCGCAGCGGCTGCTTTTCCTCTGGGCAAACTTCTGGAGGACTGAAGTTTTTCAGAGAGCCGGCAGACTCGTTGCGGCCCCGCAGTGATGTTTAACATTTTCCACAGAGTTTAATAAACATTACGATCCAACCATCACTGCACTCATAGCGGTTTCCTCCACCTGTTTGTTGGGCAGCCATGTTTAACCCTTTAAAGTAAGCTCAGTTTCACAGCATCGTCCAGATAACTCCCGCTGGTGTCATGTTTTGCAATCCTCTCAGAAAGACGAAGATGAAGACAGGTACAGGATGGTCTCCCTCAAAGCCAGTCAGTGAGACAGTGTCCGTTTAACTGCTGTTAGCGATGTTGCTAACCTGTTGCTATCTGCAGACTAGCACGGCTCTCAGACAGTAAAGTACACAAAACTGTGTAGTGACAAACTTATTATAAACCAGCCAGGCTACTGACTGTTTGTATAATTATTAAATTACACCTTTCTGTCTGCTGCAGCTTGTGGTTAAGTTACCTCCAGAGAAAAACACACGCTGGAAGCAGCAGGCTGACTCGTAGCTCTGCTCCCTGCCCGTCGGTCACAGCTCAGGGTCAGAGGTTACCCTCTTAAAGTGACAGAGCCTGATATGACAACACCTACATGCTGCTAAGACATTTAAACTTTTTAACACATGAATGACATAATATCGGAGCTTTATTTGCCAGGTATGTGTGCACATACAACGAATTTGACTCTGGATTGTACATTGCTCACCATGCACTTACTTATACAATAATAAAATCAAACGCAGGCTACAGTATAGAGAACACATATATGCACACTATAAACAACAACAATAAAGAAAGACTGAGACAGTAGTGCAATGAGCAGAGTGCAAAGGATGCAGGAGTAAATTATTATTACCATTATTATGTACATGTTCGAGGTGGATGTGATATACAGGTACACATACATGAATACATGTACACAGTGCGATGGAGCATAGTGCAAAGGATGCTGGATTGAATAAGTATTATGTGCAGGTGTTATGTACTTGAGGTAGGTGGGTTTGGTAAACAGTATATACAATATGACAATATAGCAGTATGAAAAATGTGAGCAGCACTGAGATAGAGAATGATGAATAAATAATAATTGCTAACCAGTAAACAGGTGGCTGATTAGAGACAGAGGGGGCAGAGTGGGGGGGCTCCTCCTGAAGGCCTCGATCAACTCCACAGTTTTGAGTGTGTTAAGCTCCAGGCTGTTGTGACCGCACCAGAGAGCCAGCTGATCAACCTCCCGTCTGTAAGCCGACTCGTCACCGTCCCAGATGAGGCCGATGACCGTTGTGTAATCAGCAAACTTCAGGAGTTTGACAGATGGGTCTCCTGAGGTGCAGTCGTTGGTGTAGAGGGAGAAGAGCAGTGGGGAGAGCACTCACCCCTGGGGAGCACCAGTGCTAATAGTCTGGGTGCTGGATGTGATGTTCTCCAGCCTCACCTGCTGACTTCTGTCAGTCAGGAAGTTTGTGATCCACTGACAGGTGGAGGCTGGCACAGTGAGCTGGGTGAGTTTGGTGCTGAGGATATCTGAGATGATGGTGTTGGAACGCCAAGCTCAAGTCCACAAACAGAATCCCTGCATGTGTCCCTGGAGAGTCGAGGTGTTGCAGGATGTGATGCAGACCCAAGTTGACAGCATCATCCACTGACCTGTTAGCCCTGTAGGCAAACTGCATGGGTTCCAGCAGGGGGCCTGTAATGTCCTTCAGGTGGGCCAACACCAGTCTTTCAAAGGACTTCATGACAACAGATGTCAGATCGACAGGCCTGTAGTCATTTTATCCAGAGATGGAGGGTTTTTTGGGGACCGGGATGATTGTGGAGCATTTGAAGCAGGAAAGAACTTCACACAGCTCCAGTGAACTGTTGAAAGATCTGTGTGAAAATGGGGGCCAGCTGGTCCGCACAGATTTTCAGGCAGGATGGAGACACACTGTCTGGCCCATATGTACAGTATTAAGAATTTTATTATTATATTTTTATTTTATGCATATACTCCTCACCGGGGGGGATCCACTGGGGTAGCCACCAATTTTATTAGGGTGGCTGTGACCCCCGGTAGCACCACTGGATGGGACAAACATTTTATGATCAATAGCTTCCTTTTGTGCATTTATAGCGCCTCCTAGTGGTCAATTTGAATGAGACTTGCAGTGTATGTGTGAGGTCCTTATCTAGACATATCCTGCACGTTTTGTGTTGACTGGACAAACAAAATGCATTTTGTAGTCTGTTTTGCGTTTTATCCCCTGCAGTTTGTTGCATTTGTAGCGCCTCCTAGTGGTCAATTTGAATGAAACTTTCGGGGAATGTCGGAGGACACATCCTGAGAGATTTGTGATGACTGGAGAATGAATATGGGATTTATAGTGTAATTTGTGTAATGCTAAGCACCTTTCTTGCGCTTGTAGCGCCCCCTAGGGACGTATGTACATCATACTGTCCAGGTATATCCGGGGTACCTATCTGAACATATCCTGTGAGTTTTGTGATGATCGGCCCTACGGTTGCTGATTTGTGGTCATTTATGTCCAGAGCCACGCCCCTTGCAAAGTTCATTGGTCCATATCTTGAAAAGTAATTCAGATATCGACAAGCTTTATTCAATTTTTAATAGGCTTGAGCC